CGCCAATGTAACCTTTGATTTGAGCCCATTTAAACCAGATTATATTGCCTTTCGGCTATACACAGGGGAACAACATCCACTTTCTTACAAAACTAATCAAATTGTTTTTGTTGCTATGGTAACGCATGGATATTCTGTCCCCCAGGATTCGTGCCTCAGGCGTCTTACCAGGTGCAGTTTAACATTAATTCTTGAAACTGCATGCTTTCAATTAATATTGCAATTTTTGTAGACATTTTTGAATGATGTATAATAAAACAAGAATATGGTTATAAAAAGGCAATTTAGATCACTCTGACTTAATAAAGCTCAGTCTAGGAGTTTTCTGTATTTCTTTGCAGTAATATTGTTGCAATTTTATAAATAGTTCAATATAATAACAGAGCATCCTAAATATCCATATACTGTTCATGTTCATAGATTTACAGCTTATAAACATTACACAAATATATAAATCATAACAGTATAATTTTGATTGATAATAGCAAATGAACAAATGCTATGACCATTGACTTTACAGAAGCGTAATTGATCCGGAGATTATAATGTTCCACCTTTTACATTAATACATTAATCTCTTTATACCTGTGTACTTTATCAATAAATATAATGATTGTTGCAATGTCATGCACATGGTCTATCTGGTGGAATTTCCTTGTTTTATATACATTTACTATACAATGAAATATATTGAGAATATACATAAAAAAGAATGTTTAATAGAATATTTCCTGAAATATTTTGAGGAATTTTTAAACCATTGAGAATATTTTGGAGGGGTGATTTAAGATTATAGATACTCTAGAGTCGTTAATACAAGGAGTGTTTGGGGGACAGATTAGACTACTCTTGTGTATAGAGGAGGAAGTTAGAGAAATATTGACTTAATCTATTGCTATATCCGTTGTGTAAGCACAGTTCAGATTAAAGACCTCTGCTATGAGGAGAAAAGTACTTGGCAAAATGTTTTAAGACTAAAGTATAATAATTCAGATCATACATATTTATTTTTTCAGTTCATTAACAGTTTTTTGTTTTTGGTTCAAAACTATGGCAACCAAAATTGTTTTGTTGTTTCAAAATGTTCTTGGAAGTTATATAAGAAAATTATTGAACCTGAGTCTATTACTTCTCCATGACCCAGTTACATCAGGGGGTTATTATTCTTCATAATTCTGAAATGTCCGTAAAGATTAGACAATTACACTAACATACACTGAGTTTCGCATCTGACCAGGAGAACAATGTTCGCTTTGCTTGTCTTGTTGAAGGATTTAGAAAGTTGTTACATAATTGAATAAAGCTCTGGCATCTTGTTGTGGAATAATTTGATTATTGTCCTATTGTTGATGAGAGAAGCCACTTTTCCCCCACTTACCATAGTTTAATGTTATCATTACACGTCATTACTGTCAACATTGAGCTGAGTTTATCAAATATTGCTTGTTCAAGAAATCTAAGGGCATTACAATTAAATGTCTGTTTAGAGCCTGCCTGCCTTGTAATTTCTACTATTTCCAATAGTAGATTTGATAACTTTAAAAGAGAGCTTCATCATCATATTACTGGTCTCAGGGTAGATCTTCTTAAAATCTTTTATAAAGTCTATAAGTTTTTTTAACAATTTTCTTTTCAGTTTGACATGTACTTTTAGAGTAAAAAGAAGAAGAGTCATGACATATCTGTTTTCAGGATTAAATCTTTCTAAACAGTTAATTTACCTGTAGGGGCCTAACCTCAAGTCTAGATAGGTAAAGTACAAGGAGAGATTCTGTTATGTCAGAGTTCTTGCTGCTATTCTTTCAAAGTTAGGTACACACGTTCATTTCACTTATTCTGACTAGATAGAGACTTGCCAAAAAATCCTAAATTCTCAAATTCTCTGATGTGGCATATTGTTAAAATTTGTTCTTTTAAAAATTATATTATTTATTTTTCTGTTGAAGACTAACAACCTTGATCTTTTTAAAAGAAAATGCATTTTCTCGCTCAGATGTAACAACATTACATTTAGAAATATTTTATTGATATTCTGCAAATGCATGTTTAACTATTGTATAAAGTATATGGTATGTCTATTTGCTTTGTCTAAGAAAATGATTTTTCTTCAGTCGACTCTGTCAGGTTGTCGTATTGATCCTGGATAACTTCCTTTTTCACATTATAGTGAAAGGTATGTAAATATGGATACATGTAACCTTGTAACCTGACGGTATCAATTATACAAAGTGTGAAATACTCCAAATCGTAGCTTTAGCGTTTTATGTCATCAACAAGAAGTTTCTGACATAGTGTCACATCTACCATTTTTGTAACCAGTGTTTGGTATCTGCGTTTGACATTTGTAACTCTTTGTTACACTTTTGTAATTGTTACAAGGTGACATTTTGTCAAGTTAATGCTTTGTTTCTACTTTCTAGACAACACAGTCGGGCGTCATATTGATTGTGGATACATTACATTATCACAAGATAGGATAGAGAAGGGTGTATAAACTGTTTCATTATAAGTTCTGATATACCCCAAATCTTTGCTAATCAATGTGACAAAATGATATTACTGTTAATATGCAAAATGTGCTTGTTAATAACTTGTTTTCTAAAGTCAAGAATGTGAAATCATAGAATGAGTCAACACATGACATTTAAATTAACTTTAACATTCTATCACCTTTCATGGTTTCCATGGAAACATAGTGCGATACAATGACAATAGGTGTGATGCTAACGTCTGTTGTGGTGAAATTTCTCTCATCTGCCAATTAGAGACGATCTCACTTAACAATAATGAGTAATAGAACCCCTGTTCCCTGTTTCCTCTCCAGCAGACCAACTCATTAAGGAAAATTTTACTTCTTGGTATTCGATAGGCCTGTCCAGCCATGAGCTTTCTTTAAGACGAGTATTTTACGCACAGGAAGGATCTCAGTGTTTCACGTCACGATTTTCTTTCTAATAATACGCTGGCATTCTTCAGGTCCTTGGAGCTGAAAAAATGATACTGCATAGAATTCTTTGAGTTAGGTTCCTGAGAATGAAAAATGCCTTTTGATGTTTTTTGACTTCGCAGTGTTAATAGGATTGCAAATGCTGAGATAGCCACGGGATGGTCAACTAATTTTACACTTTGGTGATTTTGAAAGATCGGTGCTAATTATACCTAATTACAGATATATTCTATATCCTTGTAAAGGTCCTTTCAATTAGCTCTCTCCAACTTAAAATTGGAATTTCGTAGAATGCTAAAATCAGAGCGCTATACTGGTTGACTCTGAATTATAAACATATATGACTTTATTTGAGTATCTGACATTCTGACAAATCTTCACTCTCAGGTGCTAAGAGTCAGAACTCTGTGCCAAACTCGACCTGACATCTTTATGGATTATGACCTGACATAAAAAAATGTGATGAGGGATATTCAATCATCATTTATAGTAATTTGCTCATCAGTAAAATAGTAACATTCACTATCCATTTAGTGAAAGTGAACAAGTATGTTTTTAGAGAATTATCACGACTTGTATTATTTATCAGAAGGATTCTATCATCCTTTTATATTCCATTGTTTAGTGCTATATCCATCATAGACCATTACACTCATAAGTCATTACCCATGGCAAGATTAGTATAAATCTTGCACTCTTCAAATTATTGATAAGCCTCCAAACTTGATGAGCCAATCAAAGCTGGTTATTGCTCTTGTTATTGCAGAGTACAACACATATACATGTATAAGGGAAAGAATAAAAAATTCATGAATCATATATTTTATATGAACATATTTTGAGATCACCCTTACCCTTTATTATGCATAACTGTGTTTGCTTGTTGAAGTTATGAAAGCTTGATCTCCCTGATATATAAATTATTACCAGGGAACATCTCAGATTAAAGGTTAATGGAATTGCAGTTGCCATAGTTGCTTCCTTGGGAAATTGTTCCACCTCATGCCCTATAGGTATTTGGACTTGATCACAGTTGCTATGGAGTTGCTTACATTTGGTTGTTAAAGAGTTTTCAGGGTTGCCATTGATGCTACCATGGAAATGCCCAAGGTTTATATTGTACATTTCAATGTTGCTATAATGATGCTCATTGTTGCTATAGAGTTTATCTCTGTTGCTATATTGAAAGTATTTCATTGTTGCTAGAGAGTTTCTCTTGGTTACGATATAGAATTTTTCATTGTTGCTAGGTAATCTTTCAGTTACAAAACAGTTACCCATAGTTGTAACAAGGAGCTGTAAATTATTGCCATAGAATTTCCTCCATGTTGGTATTTTCTCGTCATTCTTAATGAATCTGAGATGATCGCATGTGGTGTTTTCAGGCCATTGGTTGATTAAAATGAATACATGTACATTTTTGTCATCAGGTATCCACTTCGATCCACTCGCTAATATTAAAATATTAAGAAACATATAAAGCAGTTACTGGAATCATTCTAGGTGTTTTATATGCATTCAAAGTGTAAAGTATTAGAGAAACTCAATATGTTTAAAAATGTAATTGAATAATTGGCAAATCCTGAAAGAACAAGAATTTCCATAATTGTACACTTTGTTTTTTGAGAGAAAGGAAATCAATGTGAACTCTTTCAGACGTTAAACTCTAACTAACATGCAATGGGTTGGGTGTATTTATCGCTTCTATTCTGCAATGTAATTAAAAGTTAAGGGGATCGTATGAAAATCACAATTTCATAAATGTTTTGACTCTTTTACATTGAGATTTAACTACATGTGGTTGAATCTATTTAATAACTGATTTTTCTTTAACCTTTAAAAATATGTGAAATAATAAAATGAACTTGAATTTTTTTTGAAGTATATGTATCTGAATAGCATTTCGTAAATGTCAGATTATTAATATTACAAATTTTTCTAAGAATTCAATAATTGGTGAGTCGTGTCATATGTTGGCATGTAATACCTCAGTATCTAGTAGCTTTTAAATGTGTTAACAATAATAAAAAATATATTTTCTTTATATTTGCAGGTGCGAACTCTATTTGTGAGTGGGCTCCCCATGGATGCCAAACCTAGAGAATTATATCTACTGTTTAGGGGTTATAAGGTAGATTTTTCAATTAACACATGCACTATTATGTCATAGAAACACTAAATTTTTGATGAATATTTCTTCCAATTTTTTTTTATAATTACTTCCGAGAGATCGAAAATGAAATGTCGTAACTGCTATATTTTAAGAGTTGGTATTGTGTCCCGAGTGAAACATTGCCAAAGATAGACAGATATGTTGATTTCATGGAACTGTTTTATTGTTTTGTTATATTAATATGTCTGAAAGATGACACAATTATCACATTTCTGGTGTCATTGTAAGTTCAGTTCTATTCAATAATTTAGCGTATGACAACGAGGCAATATTTCAATTGTGATGTATTATTTAGTGCTTCCTTGCCGAAACAGTATATATCTGATTAGCTCCATTAATTATTTAAGCTGCTCATTTTGAGACAAATTAGAGTTCCCTTAGTCCCTGCTTACAGTTTCTCTCAAAATTGGATTTGGAAAATTGATTTTCGTACAATCCCCTACAGCTTGAAGTGTATCCATTGTGGTATGGCGTTCGAAATAGATACACAGATGTCTTGACGTTCAAATCTCTCAAAGTATTTGTTTTTCGTATTTTGTAATTTTGAAGAAATTAAGATGGATGGAAATATTTTGTTTATGTCTTGTAGTGATTTTTGTATTTTAATCATGTTGTTTTTTCTGAGTCCGTCTTTTTTAGAGTTTGTTTTGATTCATTTCACGCCAGTAAATTATATATCCATTGAGAAAAATTGAGTGGTGTGTCCACTGTATATTAGCTTCAGGGTGATGTGAAGCATTTCCTCATGGGAGAAGTATACATCAGTTCTTGTCAATTAGGGGTAAATTCTCACAGGAACCAAGGAAACGGTTTTCTAAAATGACAATTGCTTATGGTTTTGTGATCTGTTCCTGTTGGTTATATAAGTTATATGTCAAAACTCGTATTAGGTTCATCATGGAGACAATTAGTTTTACGTACTTATATTTGAATGTCATTTCTCCAGGCACAATTTCTGCCAATAAGATGGGCGGTAGATTTTATCCGCTATGTCATTGAGCAGAATTGAACTTAGAATATGAGAAACATCACAGGAAACACTCAGTCAAAATTTCATTTTTGTCGATAACCAAATAAATGTTGGCATTTATTCTGATGGCAGATGGTTTTGTTTTTTAAGTAACTGTTAATGAGTAAATGTAAGGAAACATCCTGAACTTTTTGTGACTTAAAAAAAATTAGAAATATTTTGGCAAAGAACAATCATTGGTTTACATAATGAGAGGAAACTAGAATTGATTATTTAGTCTATTTGTCTGAAATATTGCGTGCGATTTTCGAGATTCTGTCTATGTCTGGCTATTTTGGCTGTTTCTAACTATTCTGAAGTCACCAACAACTCATTGTAAAAATTTCTATATGTCTCAGATAGTTATTTTCATTTGGGATTAGTGAATGCAGTTCATCAGTATTTAAATTATTAATTTAAAGAATTCAAATTATAGGTGGCATTTATATGCCATTTGTTATTTGCTTTTTACTATTTTAGAGAGACTCATACTTATGTATATTTTCATCAACAACTCTTAATTTGATTGGCCTGATTTTAGGGTTATGAAAATTCCCTGTTAAAAATAATGGGGAAACTCGTAAAGACCACGGGAGTAAGTAATTAAAATGCGTGTGCACGATCACGTCACCCCGTCACTATGTCACACTACATCACGATGTCATTCGTCATTCAAGCCAATGAAACATATACATGACATGGTAGGTTTATAATGCTGTATTCACTGGTAGCTGGCAAACATATTGATTATAAAAATTGTTTTTCTAAATGATCTATGCTTGGCAATGAATGTGATGTCCATCTCTGAGAAAAGTTGTTTGATTTTGGTGCATTTTTGTGTAATTTAGAGTGAAAATCATGGAAAATCGTAAATGTAATGGATAACTGAAGTATACTTTACTTTCCAAAATATAATATATAAAAAGAAAAATGTTCACATTCTAAATTACACAAAGGTGCAAGAAAATCAAACAATGCTTCAATTTTCCATATATGGGCATCTTATTCCTTGTAAAGTATAGAATCATGTGGAAGAACCCCAGCTATCGGTTGGTGCATTGCCTTAATATGTCCCATGCATATGTTCCTTGTTGGCGTTGAATGCACCTTGCCACCTTTGATTGCAGGGATACGAAGGCTCACTATTAAAAGTCACCAATAAGAATGGCAAAAATACTTCAGTAAGTATGCACCGCACATAGCGGCACTGTTTATTTCTTCCTCCATTCCCCATTGTATTTACCATATCAGTTTTCAAAGCTACAATTGATTTTAATTGTAATTTTACAGTGATAATCAGTCCTACTAATTATAAGAAATTGTTTCATTTTCTCTTATGCATTTTAAACTGATATGGCAAATTCTGTTTAAGTCTTCATATATGCAAATATTCTGTGATATATTTTATTATCTGGAGACTGTAAATATGATATAGGCCCCTGGTACTCATATTTTAGAGAGAATTACATTAGGTAGGTTCACAGTCATTAACATCAATTTAAGAAGCTATAAGAAAGCAATCTCTGACAAGCTCTTATATTCATTCTTTTCTCATAGGTACTAAAAATGGTTGTCTACCTTCATCAATTCAACTTGACCAGAAATTGAGATTTGAATCATATCAATGAACCTTGGTGAAATTGGGATTTTGAATCGTATGTGTTATTTACATATAGCACAAATATTTCTCTAGTCTATGAGTACCCCCTCCTTTATTATGCCCCATTCGTGATTTTTTTTTCTTGACCATTGGTTTCGTAATTTTCATTGATTGATAGACGATTGAAACACAATTGGACTCTGCTTTTGCACAATTAATATTATACATCTTTTATTTTTAACTTCATCATTTTCACGTTATGCGTAGGAATATTGAAGAAGGATGCATTTTGAATTACATTCATGCTAAAATATTATATATAATGCACAATTTAAACCTTGCAATTTTATCATCTTTTTGTATTTATCATAAAAATTATAACAATCTTGTTTGAATACCTAGTTCAGCTTACATGGACTCATATTTCTCATTCTTTTATTAGTTTTTCTGAAACACGATACAACACATGTCGAAATATGATATACATTGTTCTAGGTAAAGGAAATGTATAATATTAATTTGAGGAGTTATCTTGTCAGATGAAGAAACATAAGATTATGTACAAATATTTTTTCCGAAGCAAAGGCATAGTCTGTAAAAGTGTGTTAGATATTTAGCTATCAATGAATAAAAAATAATCCTGACCACTCCCTATGTGTATAAGCCAATGATGTAGTTATATAATACCAAGAAATATAACTCCATTTATACAACCTCAACATAATATAACAACCCTTACAAATAAGAAAGTCTTGTCATGCTTTCATGGAATATGAAAAATAAAGAGAGCATACATTTTGTTCATGTGTTAAAAATGTGTTGCAAGCAACACATTTTCTTTTGTGTCAAGAATTCCAAAATAATAGCATGACCAAACTTTCATATTTGTTAAATTATATTGTCTCCATGAATCGCATGCATATCACATACATGTATATAACAACATCACCAATAAGACATACATACACATAATACTCTACCTAGAGACACTAAATATCAAAATCTTTTATATTTTGAAACCCCTTTATTTTTTTAAATCCTTTATTTTATTTTTTTTACTCAAAATCCAGAATATTTTTCATATTATTTTTTTTTGAAATCACATATTCATTATTCAACTTTTTTACATCATCTGTGCTGTAGCATCACAATTGGCTACCACAAAAATGCATGAAAGTCTATGTTCACTTATGTTCAATACTGTGACTATTCATGAATTGCATCTCTTATGTATTATTCATGAATATCACAATTAAATCTTATTTTTAAATCAAAATGTTCAGTCATATTTAATTGAAATTCAATTGAAATGTTGAAGAGTAAAGTTACAATTAATTTATTGTTGGTTCTTTTTAAATAGATGTTTGAGTACTTTAGTTTGATAGTGTATCATTTATTATAAATTATGAAATTATGATTTTGGACCAAGGAGAAACAGAGATTTATACACCCATAAAAATATACCACTAATCATTTTATTTTCAAAAATCAACATCTTGTTTGGTCCTTTTACAAAAGGTTTATGAAATTTTCTCTTTATTTTACTGCCAGTGTCAATAGAATATTGAGAAAATACTCTTTGTGAAAGCGTATGTTCAGTCATGCATGACCTTGGGTTATGTGACCTTGACCTTGGTTATGTGATATAACCTTGGCCTTGGTACCATGACCTAGTCCCCCGTCTCTGTGTAATGTTGGTCCATGTTCAAACCATTGTGTTTATTTGGATAGATTAACATGTTTTCTTTACGTTTTTATTAACAGCTAGGTATAACTACTCACCCACCGGTAAGTTATTCATTCATCCACATCTAGACCTAGTGGATACGGACCACTGAAATCCTGTGGTTGATCTCGCAAAAGTTGTAGAGTTATTGATCTATGAATCGAAGTGTTCTCAAGGTTACACATGTGCACAGTTGTTAGAAAATAGACAATTGAATTATAGATCTGTAACTTATCAATATTTAGTGAAATGGACCCCTGACCCACTGGCCTTTGGGATTTGTTGGTCTTGGTCGTATATTCCATGATCTCATCCAGACCTTAAAATATAGCCTCTGAAATAGCCCAATCACTTGCAAATTTTCATGAACAGCCATGTGTCCATAATACAGAGGATGAAATTCTTTTGAACTGTCCAAAATCATTCATTATTGAACAATATTATATTGAGTCTGTCTTTCAAAAAAATCTAACAACCTTTACAATTGATCAGATCATTCAATATCAAACTCGAGGTTTACCTCAAAAAGATGACAAACTTTGGACTAATTAGGCTATAGGAATCATGACAAGGCTAGCAAATCCTATATTACCAGTTAGATCACCTACCAGGTCACATACAACATTATAGAACACAATTATGCAAAATATTGAATACATCGTAAACAAGTTTATGATAGTCACATGGAACATCTAGGAGCATCACATTACCACATATCTCCCTACAATTATCACATCAAAATAATTCAAAATCATGTCAAAACAAGTCCTCTCCGGGGTTGCATTGCTGGATCTTCCTGTCACATAGGAAATACACGAGGCATTAAGGGGCTCTCTGTACCTTAAAGGTATACTTATTTTGTGTTGCCTCATTGTGGTATCATCGGGGCCTACCATGTGGTATGGTTGTATAGTGAGGGGCCAACCTCACATGTATCCTAGTGCTATATTACCTGTAAAAATTGCTATTAGTGAACTGGTACAGGAAGACCTCGATGAAATATTCATAAAATTCACAAAATACAGAAGGGGAACACTAAATTATTGGTGTTATACATTAAAATATAAAAGTGAACATTAGAATACAGATGGTAAATAGAAATCACTCAGAAATTTCCTTTAACGAAAACAATACTATAGGTATCAAGCTAGGCTTTTGCCTTCAATTGATTATATGATTTCGATACAACTTATAATTATTGTATTTTGTTCCATGTAGAGAACCAGTCATGCAAACATCAACAGAGATTATTTTTACATTGCCAATTGTTGTCACATGATTCTCAGCACACCATGTTTGGTTATCCATAGACTCAATGACATTTTGAATCAATGATTGTGATCAATTAAGACATTATGAGTACTGTACAAGGGATGTATGGTTCTATAGTGAGGGGTCAATCTCTCTTATATTGGAGAAATGGTACTAATGAAGGATTGGCCTACATAAAATATTTGCAAATTTCAAAAAAATCTGCGTACATGTTTATAAGGAATAAATCTAATAGGGAGTAGTCAACTCTCATACAGAATATTCAGTCAAATTTTGGCTGAAAAGAAAGGGAAGATTTGGCAATTGATGAATGGGAAGAAAAAGAGAGAATTTCAATGGGGAAATATTTCTCAGTTTGGAAATCACAATACTTGAAAGGTGAATACCACATGGAATATCTGTACTTATACACCATTGATCTAGGTCGATGTCTAATGAGCGTGACGCACTTTCACTAACGAGCTATTGACACCTATAGTAGCAGTACTATTCTACTAATTTATCACTGAAATCAGTTTCCATAGTTTGTGCATTTTCTCTCATTACCATGGCAACAATTACCTTATTTGGTGGTCATTGTGAAGATTGTGTTTTTTCTGGATGACCCTGGCATTTACAGCTGAGTTTTCTCGTTGTTATTGTTATCATTTTACCTCATTCAGGATGGGATGGGAGTGTTGTTCATTCTAATATTAACCCATCTTATATTCCCTCCTAAGGCAATTCTACAATTTCTAATGAGACAAGCAATATATAATATAATCCAGGTTTATTTTCTGGAGAAATCCCTCAACCATTGAAGGATACAATTTAGTTTATATATGGTTTATTTCTGTTTCTGTATTTTTTGCTTATATAGCTACCATGACCATCTGAAGCCCACTCACTATGCAAACATTCACCGTAGTTTATATTCCACCTCTCAGTGGTTGATGTATCTATTAATCATGTTCATTGTAAACTGATGATTTCTAGCGCCACATTGATTCAGAATTAATAGAGATCATATTTAGATAGAAAAACAGATCACCTTAACATGGATCTGTAATGCATAGAGCTTCCCTTGGGATGTAGCAGATTTGAAAATGATTTCTTATTTGTCATCAAATTATCCAATTTATTGCCAAAGCAGATCTGGATTGGGAACAAATGAAACAATTATAATGCAAATACAAAATGTTTATTGTATAACAGATATATTATTCTTAACTCACCCCTCCCCCATAAACACATAGCTCTTACATGTGCAATAAGTAAGATATACATACAGTATATACATACAGTATATACATACAGTAACTATATACATACAGTTTATGTCAAATGCTACAAATAGTTACACAAACCACAAACATAATTTGCTACAAATGGTTACACATACTAATATTGCTACAAATGGTTACACATACCAGTTGCTACAAAGGATGGTTTCATACATAATTTGCTACAAATGGTTACACATACTTATACACATTGTCAACAAAATAATACATCACAACATTACATAATGCATTTCTGTTATAATATACTTGCTCATGTTCCCATAATTTTGAGTATATTCCTTTCACTAATATAATTTTTCTCTTTTTAGGATTTTGAAATAAAATCTTTAATTTCAATGTTATTTATTACTTAATCTATTATTCATAAAACAGAGCTTATATATTTCCCAAGATTGCAAATCTTTGTTATTGTGATATTTTTATTTATTTATTTAGTACTACGCTTTTGTATCAGCGGCACACTTTCACAGGTGTGATGTATGATAAAGGAATCAAAAAGTCATTGAAAAGTAGCTAAAATTGAATTGAAAATTGAAATTTCTATCTGTTCTGAACTTCATGCATCAAATGATATTTAGCAATTTTAATGTCAATATACTTTTGGATATTCCATCTTTTTATTAACATCTTGTTATCCTTCAATTTTAGCCTGTTGGTTTCGTGACATTCAGCTCAAGAGTTTCAGCAGAGACAGCAAAGCAAGATTTACAGGTGAGCAATATACTGGAATATCATCCAGGTGACAGCCAATCAAAAGATAGCTTTTGATAATGGTGATAAAATCGTATAATGCTTTGTGTGATGGTGACTTTGTTTTAAAGAAAATTGAATATTTTTCCTGTGATGTCACACTGAAAAGGAAGATTCTGTTTCTAGTTAGAGTTGGGTCCCTTGGGACACGATCATAAATGAGTCAATTCTGTGCGCAGAGAAGCGTTAATTCTTAGCTGAACTCCCAAGATTTAATTCATATTACTTTCCAAACCATTGGAGATCAACACATTCTTCTTCAATATGTCGCTACTATCGTCAATCATACAGAGGAAAATAGCTTTTGTATCCTGTGATAGGCCAGTGCCACTGATCTCAATTCCAGAGGAATTTCGTCTATATTATGTGTCAACCGTTTAACATTCTTTTAGTGTTTTCTTCATTACATGAAGTGAAATCCTGAAATCAATACAGCTAGAAGCAGAGAAATAGTGAAACCATTGAAGCATCAAATTAAATTAAAGATAATGCATTAAAGACATATTGCCACCTTCCTAATATGTGTGAATCAATAGGGTGGAAATAATAGCACATTGCTTCTGTCTGCCTTACAAGAAATCTCTTATTACACTTTCATAGTAGGGTAAGCCTTGCATCAAGACCTATATGGATCATAACATTCCCTCTCTATCATATGTGATAGAAAGGGATGGGGGAGGGGATATGAGATTCTCAACAACTCTAGTTACAGGGAAAGAGTGTCGGCCTTGATGAGATTGCTGGATTAAGTTTGATAAGGACCAGGATCTCATTTTGCTTCTATTCTTGTAAGTTCAATAATTTGTCACATTTATTGTACAAACAAACATATCACCATATATGGTATTTTTTCAGGGAGTGAGATTCGACCCTGACCTTCCCCAGACCCTTAGGTTAGAGTTTGCAAAGAGTAACACTAAAGTGACAAAGCCCAAACAACAAAGCCCCCAGCCTGCTGCAACCCACCCCACACTAGTCCACCCGATTACTGGACGTAAGTACACATCTAGTCAACCATTAACTGACCATTTTGGGAGTTTATTCATGAATTTCATGAATTCAATTTTCAAGATCAAATATTTCCAGTTAATGAAATGAGAGGTTGAAGTGATACTATCAATTTGATCTTTTGATATAAGACAATATTGATTAAATTGATAATCGATTTGAGAATTTGATTACTTGAAAGTTTCTGAAATATTTATTTGCCAATTATTAAAACCAGAATGTTAATCATGTTTTAAACAATGGTCAACTAAAGGTTGAAAGAAGGCTTTTGTACACATTCAGTAAAACTTGTATATCTGAACACATCTTTTATCTGAACAACTCTCAATGTGAACACTTTCTTTATGCCTTGAAATGTGAACACCTGCTTTTCGGCCAGACCCAGATATTCAGATTAGACAGGTTTTACTGTATATTAAAAATATTGTGTGCTTTAAACTTTTCAATGATGTTGTAGATTAACATGTCGTTTTTGATAGTGGCTTATCCCAACATTTTGATAACCATGGATATACATGTGGAATAGTATACAATAGGGGTGCCACAATAAGTACCCGATCATTTAAATATTTAACTTCTGATCCAATTCACTTTTGAAGAGACTAAATAAATAAAAAAAATTATTTGTGAAAGAATATATATAATTTATATCCATACATTGTGTTACATATTTTGCCAAACCAGCATAAATGGTCAAATTTAAATTGTTGGTAGAAAAAGTTTCGGAATTGATGGGGACCTCTAAAGTATACATTATACATGTACTCAGCTTATTTAATTAACCATGCTGTTTATCATATTATTGATAGCAATAAAGGACATTTTTAAAGAATTAAAATATTAAATAATAGTCAACATTGGAGGAGCAAAATGACAAATAAAAACTAAATCATTCAATAAAATTAAGAATCAACATATACAGAAATGAATGTATGTACGTCTCGTACTTTAAAGAGCGATAGTTCTCCCATCTGAAATCACACTTTGTGATGGTTAATGTTAGAACATATTCTCTCCCTATTTATCTTATAGTATGTAATGAAATTGAAATAATCAAATCATCCAAGTAGCAATTATTCACAATTGTATTGCTTAAGTGTTTTGAAATTACCTTATTTGGAACCCTTGATAGAAACGTACAATGATCATTCCTTATATGGTGTTAGTGGGTAGAATTCGTTGAAATTACAGGGGAATACAAGAAATTAGCATGAAGGTGAAACAAAAAGAATAACATCATGAATGGAAATCAGATATTCCTAATTGAAAGAGATTGAGTGATCATTGTGAAGTATTCTATCAGGGCATAGTACTATAACACAATTGATGGAGCTCTAATGCTGATTAGAGTTGTTTGGTATAGAATGATTGAAGGTTTAGTCACTGTCTTTGACATATACACTCTCTATAGATTCCAAAGGTGTCCATTCTCAGGGGTTTCACTAGAATCTCTCACAACGGGCTAAATAAATGAAAACAATGGGCAAAATTAATGGAAATCATAAATTTAACATGGAAAAGTCCCTAAAACAACAAGCGATTTTGTGAAAACAACTGGTGAAAATCACTTGTTGCATGCTGCTAATGAAACCCCTGATTCTAATATAATGTTCAACGATGCATCATCCTCTGGTCAATAATTTACTTGTTTACTTAAGTCAGCCTGGGAATGATCAAATGTTTTTTGCAATCTGAAATAACAATAATAGCAGTCAACCTTGAGTATGGAATTTAGAGACAACATAACAGTTTCCTTGGAATTAATCACCAAGCAAACTAGTTGTTATTCAAGTGATCTTTTGTCTTTATTTTGTCTTTCAAATATATGTCAAAGATAGTGTCTTGATGTCCAATCAATCCCTGTTGATGTTGCTTTGTTAACCTTATATAGACGTGTGTTGATTGCTGTGTTGTTTTTCTCTTTAATCAACAACAGAAGAAATAGGTCCCGCCTTTTTCCCAGGTGCGACAGACGCAGCAGCATGGACCCACCTCCCAACAGCATACACAGAGATTAACCCCCAGATGATGCAAGCAGCAGCAGCTGCAGGATTACACCATCCTGGGCTAATGCACCCTTCCCTAGCTCAGGTACCACTTTCTGTGAGTTCAACCTTCATATAGTTCATGCATGGGGTTCACATGTTGTAATGCAAGGGCTATGAGTATTTGTGACCAAAGTGCATCAACAATGAAGTTCATACTGACTACATACGGATATATGATTTAAAGTCGAAATTTGACAGAATTATACTTTATTTTGTACATATTGAGATTATTTAATGCATTTCAATTCAATAATCTATTGAGAGTTTTCCAACTTTACCATGGCTATTTTTCCAAGTTATAATACACAACAATGTGTTCATATATATTTGAATTCGACTGTTCTATCCTAGTAGACTATTAGAGTCTGATTTACCACTCAATAACATAACTTGTAAATGTATGTTTTAGATTGCATTAAAGTGTGTGTTCAGGCATGCACTGCAATTAACAATATGAATTTATGTACATGTACATCCAATATTGATATTTGAATTGTGTAAAAACTCAAGAATTTGTTGGTTTTCAATGAGCACAATGTAAGCTGGCAAGCATGATTGTATTAAATACTTTTTACACAAGTAAGAAATTATATTTATTTACAGGACAACCTCATGGAACACGGTGGTGCCTTATTTGGTGTTACGCCATCAATGGTATCTTACCAATAGCGCCATCTATCTAATGGTGCAGCGTGGAACTTAACGTGGAGAAGGTAGCGGATATATATACAAGAGTTGTTGGCATCATTTCACCTTCATGTTTACACCTGAAACATGTACCTTGCAGGCACTTTATATCTCACCTGTATTGTATCTTACTTTTTACCCACACATTCCCCCGGCTTGCACAGTTTACAATATCTCTGTTCATACATGTGTTGAACTTCCATGGAATTTTAGTAAATAACGCAAATTTTAGCACTGGCAATATGAGAATTTTTACATCGATCATTTTGATTGGCACCATTTAACTTATTATTCCTACTTCTACTACAAGTGAAGAACAGTGCATGCAAGGTACATAAACATCTTTCCCAACTCTTTCTGGTGAATTTTGTAGGTTCCTGAGCCCACCATCTTTCTGCGAGTGCACTCCACACACTACAGCCCGGTCTCACCACCGGGCAACACATAGCAACTGATTGGTTGCCATGGTTACTTGTTTGTTTACATCACCATAGCAACATCAGCTTCCTCAGCAACAGGGCAGGCACTTTGATACGTTATATTGCACCCCTGTGACACACGGCTTACAACTTGAACCAACCTTTGCAAATATTTCTGTTTCACATCGTTTGTGAAATGTTTTGTTTTGCTCGTGAATATGTATGAGTTAATAGCATGAGCCTAATCATGCCTGCTCATATTTTCTCATGTATTTCATGGGGGAAACAATGTAAAGGTTCAACCCTCCTATTTTATTCTGCTAGTGTTAAGATAGTCCCGATTTACATCACAATTTGGGGATGATGATGCGAACGTTGCCCCCACCAGCAATAACAAACCATAACGCACTGTAGCAATGGATGATGCATGACAAAGTTTCCGTCACATATTTAATATGACTGTTTTTCATTATTAGATATTTGCAATGCAACTGTATGTGATCTACCATATTTAATCCCCACATATTTAGACACCACGGTCATGTAGAGTAATATCAGTTGAAAACAAACATGTGGAAATTCACGCTAAGTAACTATTACTAAACATATAATTAACATCAGTTTTACGTATGATTAAAGTATATAGTCACATAGTAGTTTAGTAACATAAATATTGTTGTATTTGATGGGCTTGTTGAAATATGAAGGCTTCTTTTGTGAAATTGGCTCAACACATATTGAATATGCCAACCAGTTCAGATTGGAATAATTCCATTTGCTCAAAAATGACCTAATTATTCCAAACATGAAATATCACAAAATGACTAAGTTATAAAATGACTCTGTCATATCATAGAATTTTAACAAGACTATAGCCCATGATTTGACTGCAATATTTGTGGAGTGTGTACTGTAAAATGGCATCACTACAAGGCATGTTCCTAAATAATTTCCTAACTGCCCCTTCCTTAAACTCATATTTAAATAAAGAACTTGAAAATGCAGATGAGAGGAATTCACAATGATCATGTTTCAGGCATTATATTTATTATAATAAAAATTGTATAATCCCATGCCAGTCCTCCGGCACCTTAGAATTCTTTGAAATAGGATGTGCCTCTTGACATTTTGCAATAAGAAGTTCTTTGGATTATTTGAAACAAGATTCCCCTTGAAATCTTTTCAATAAGAAGTTGTTGAAACAAGACACTACATGAAACTTTGCAATAACATGTTCTCAGAATTACTTGAAGGAGGATTCATCTTTTGAAATTAGATTTTAGACATTCTCTGAAAAGGAAAGAATCCCAATTTGTGAATGAGACTGTGTAAGGGAAGAAGTGAGGAGGGTAGGGGATGGTACTGATAAAGTAAGAGGCAACATGAAAAGATGCAACTCCCATTAGCCTAAAGAGTTGTCCAATATACATGAAAATAAAATGAAAATTTTGGTAGTCTGCTGGACACTGTGACACACTTTTATAGACAACATAGCACATGTTTAGAAGTAACCAAGCACAGTTGACCTTAATAAGTTTTACAAACTTACAGAATTGTGTTTTTGTTTCTAAGATTTCAATAAATGATAAATGTTCTTTGAGAGCTTTACGGATATGTACAAAAGTACCTGAGTAATGATAATGATAGCCTTGCCCAAGTCGGTCTCTTTTACTATCTTGATTTCTATTATGACCGCCTTGTACCAAAGAGAAAACCACGTGCTTTACCGACTCAATGTTTATGTCGGTAAAATTTGACCAATCAACGACTGCCCTGCAGCGTTAGCTCATTATTATGCACGGTCAAAAACAAGTACACTTTACTTTTCGCCGGGACTTTTCACGAACAAATCTTGCATGAATTCATCATGAAAATACAAATATTTTATCAGATAAATATCAATCAGAGTTTAGTGGATGCCGGAGCATCGATCGGTAAGAAAGTGAGAAGATTTCAACAATAAACGTTGAAACGATCGCTGAATTCAAATGAACATGTAGGCTGAGATTCAATCACTGATCGACTACACCCGCTACATTGGACTCGGTCTTGCATTTTCATCGCGAAATCAGTTTTAAATCTATTGCATGATTTAATTTATATTAATGACTCTTACATTCCCTAGGTACATTTAATTACATAATATATTGTAACTCTAAAGGAACGATTGATCAGATCATTGAATTTCAAATCGGGAAGATTGCTTTGCTTATGCAGGTCAACCTGATAACGTTTTGATTGGTCAATCAGCCTGAAGTCACACGTCGTGTCCACGCGTATATCTCTTAATCAATAAGGTTTCGCGATACCCCTGATAGCGTAGGTATTATGGAAATCTCGAAACCGTTGAATAACTCTGCATAATATCAGCGCAGGTGTATTGGATTGTACAAGGCGGTAATAATTCAAGATCAAATAAGTAAAAAATACCGACTTGGGCAAGGCTATGATAATGAATTAATTGGGAAATATATAAAGAACTTAAGTCATAAATGCTTTAGGTTTATAAAGAATGAAAATGCTACATGTATACATGCCAACATGTAAATACTGAACATCACCCCTATATTGACATAGGCTAGCTTTTTGTCACATATTAATTTTCTTTTATATTTTTAGGAATTCTTACTTACGAGTATGGCAATCGATGACTAAATAGTTTAGTCATGGATTGCATTATATAACTTTCACATGTTATGGATCAACAAATACTAATTTAGGGTTCATCTCAAATATCAATGTGTCCTTTCGCAAAATGAATCAAAATAAGCGGGTTGTGGTAAAAAAGCCAGCTTTGATTGTGAAAATTTGATGTGGGTAGACTGAGCCTTTGTTTGATTATTTTTGCGAAAAAGCATTTATATTTTGATATTGCCCTTTGTATTTCACAGGAATGAAAACCTTATATGTAAGTGTACATGAAAGAATTATCACTCATCTAACAAATATATTTCATTTCCCACAGGTTTGTCGAATCATGAAACATGAACTATCAACTTCACATGATATATTGGAAATGTAGTATCTTAGGAATCAGATCAACATATTGACAAATGTCAAAAGATGAAATTATATATTCGGGGGGGAGGAAGTCCATTTCATTTTATTTTGGAACAACAATGAAAAAAAGTTTTGTTTAAAGAGGGAGGCTGGGCTTAGTTTAAATTAAATGTTTTTGATGGATGTTGGAATATTGACCTGTCTCTTATTGTGTCTCCATTTTCTACATAAGCATGCTATTAAACAGTGAAACACCACATATGAAAGTAATGTACGTACAACAGGCATGCTTATTAAAACACAAACATGTGAATTTATTTTAATAAACATGGTTTTGAAATTGATATACAGTATCTGAGCAAGGATTAAATACAAAATGTGACATGTCTGATATAAGATCTGCCATGATTTTAAGTATTTTATTTGCCACTTCACATTTTGCATTAAATAGACTCTTATCTTTCTTTCAATATCAAAGGCATGTTTTTGTTAACGTTGCTCTCTGTTTTAAGGCATGCTTTTTGAAGCTTTATCAAACAGAGAGTGATTTTTCCAAGGTGAAGTTGATATGTTTCTATGTTCCCATGACAACACTGGCTGCTCACTGCTAGAAGCCCCTCCCCTGTCACAGTTAACCACACTGACAATAGAGGGCACTGAACTTCATTCTGTACAGTCGGGCATTAATGTTTCAAACCAAAGACTTTCCTATAACAATGTCTCTTATAGTGCAAAACCTTGAATGTTCGACTGTAAATGAGAGTTAATTCACACTGGATTATAAAAATTGTAAATGAGGATATGTTTTTGACGTCATTGTTTTATTTCAGGCCCAAATGCCCTTTCCTGTCTCCGCAGCACATCAAACAACATTATCTCAGGTAAGGGGACTCTCAGGCGACATCTATATGTTGTATTCAACACCAAGCACTGCATCACAATCTAGCGAGGATAGTTCTACGCTATCAGGGCCCTAGAAGGTGGGGAACACCCCTAGAACAAATTTTGTTTTTAAGATATTGATTTGAATATTGTTCCAAAAATTTGGACATTCAGAGTGAGCCAGAAACAAACATTTTTGAGTGTTTTTGTTTTGCCTCACCCTGTATATAGTCACTGAACACATCAGATAAGTCAATAAACACATCAATTTAGGCACTAAACGCATCACCCTTTTCTCCTAAAGAAAAACCCTTCAGGGGCCCTGTGGTTAACTCTGTTTTATGTTTTTCCCAGATGGTCTAGTTTATAAGGTTGCATGGACAACGCATGCAGAGCACACGCTTATTATATATTTCACTGGAATTTATCGAAAATTGGACAATATAGGAAGTGTCACGAGTATTTTGGACCTGACCTGGATCTGATAATTGTTTCATCCTGGTTCAATACCCTTATTTGGCCATTGTACATCAATTGTGTTTCATTGTGATTTACAATGACTGCAATAATATTTAACTCTTGTCTACCTAGATTTTATTTTAATATTTTGACTTGCGAGTGTTAAATATATAGGGGTATGGCATTTCTGTGAGAAAAACATAAAACATTGCTAAAATTTGCATAAGAAATCTATCAGATTAGTTCTATTCAACAATGGGGTCTCATAGACCTTCAGGAGTTAATTTTGAGTATGTATGTAGGACTTTCATGTTAGTATATATCTTCTAGGCCGCTAGGTTGTGTGTGTACATCCAAAATGTCTCAATTATAATTACATCATAGCATATTAACATCTTGGCTTCTGTAGAAAGATGCAAACATTTTTTCTAATTTTATGATTAAATGCATATTAGGAAACTTCAAGTCTTTTAGAATTTTCTAGAAAATCTCTAAATGAAAAAGGCTATTTGTGCATTTCGAAAAAAACTTTGATGTTAATTTGTTAGCAACTAAAATATAAGCTTTTAGATATTTTCTGAAATAACTATGGTTCACATCCTTACGGACTTGAAATTTTCTTCCTGGGATTACATGTATTCTTAAATAATTTGTATCAACATTTAATTTTCCAAACATTAAATGTGTATTTATGTATATTTATTATGTACTGTATCTCGCACAAAGATGCATCTCTCATTGCTCTTTTGCAAATTAATGCACCAAATAAGCTATCCGTTTGCTTCATTAAAAGTTCAAAATTTAGAATTTAAGCATCTTGAAAATTCTCCCCTATTGTCAAATTCTTGATATCATGGAATTTAACTATTAAATTCATTATTTGTTTGGAATTTACTCCAGATTTCATTGATTTTCCTTATGCTTTTTATGTTTGAATACATTTTCTTATTTGTCAGTACATATTCTAAAAGTGTTTAAAAGATTTATTTTTGGAAGTTGGTGGTTGGTGTGTTAATTTGAAAGCGCAATGTTTGTTGGGACATATACCTGACATTGTAGTAGTCATGGTGTTTAATGTGCATTGTAGTATGAAAATGTACAATGTACAAAGACAATGTACAATGTTTTACAATAATATACATTGCAAAGTAGTGGGACAGTCTCATGATACAATGTATTATGACATTTGTTGTACATTGGACAATGAAGTACTACAATATACAATGAAGTACAGCAATCTACAATGTAGTATGACATTGTACAATGAAGTGAAGCAATGTACCTTTATAAACACCATGAATTACCCTTGCAGTCAGTTGTCATTTCTTGGAATTATGGTGAATTACAATTCTTGTTTTTCATGAGGTAACTGTGTCAATATCATATAGATATACAATCAAATTTCAAGAATTGTAATTCCGTATTTTTTTAGAAATGACCTTGTGCATATGACATCATGTCAGCTGTTTTTCTCGAGTAGTGATACGTAGTTATCTGTACTATAGTGCCATCACAGTAACTGTCAGCCACGCCATCTATCACGTCACAGTCTTTATTAACATCGTCATTCCCTAGCTAGCAATCCATTCAATGTTAACCAAATCTGCAAGGGACGATGGGTAATCGTTTATTTATGTCTTAACCTTTTTGATTTTCTCCCCCCGCCTTAATTTTTGTCCTTGTTTGAAGCTTATCCTCATCTATCAGAAGAAATTGGAACCTTTAACTTTACAGGGGAAATTGGGGTGCCCTTTTGACATAATTTTATTATCTTTTGGAGCATTTGCTTTCAGAGATTGCATGCTCTATTGTTGTTTTGATGGTATGTTTTTAATTTGCTTACATTCAAAACATTAATTCACAGTCGCATTTTCTGCATGTTATCCCTAAAAATGGGGAAACTTGAGTTTCTTTGATTCAGTGAGTGAATTCAAAATCCCAATACATTCACAATTTTGTGGATTTTAATTTTTTCTCATATCATAAACTCTAACATGCAAATTCCTTATCAAATTAATCTATCCAATTTCAAATTTGGAACATGATATGGTTTCGAAGTTTGAATACAAAAAAGTTCAATCATTAAAGGTGTTCTACTAAGCTGCTCTATCAAATTCAACAATTCATTTTTGGCAATTCACAGTCTGCTATACTCAAAAAATATGTCCTTTGAAAGGAGTACAAATTTCACGATTGGGGGAACAAGTCAAGATTTTAGCAACAGAGTCCAGGACTCCAGATGTAGATGTAGATGAAGACCGAGGCTGACAGTTGCTAAGCGATGGTGGCCATGTGACCATGCCGCATTGCTTATATGTTTCAGACACCAAGTCCCTTGGCACTGGCAGCAGTTGCGCAGCACCACCCTGCTGCCCTAGCACAACTTCCAAACCCGCACCTCGCTGCCAGCCCAGTGTTAACGAGCCCCGTTAACACGACTGGCAGTGCTACTCAAACAGCCGTTAGTCAACTTGCACATAGCGCGCCTTGTTCCACACTTTTTGTAGCAAACTTAGGCCAATTTAGTTCAGAACAAGAGCTGAAAGATATCTTCTCTAGGTATGTCTTGATACCATGCTTTATGAACAATATTCTCTAGAATCTTGGTTTTCTAATATGGCTGTTTCTATAGCAATGATTTTGTTTTTGACCTGGATGCACATGCTATGGTGTCAGATTCCAAATACGATTAAGGATGATTTTGACATCTCTATCTTTAAGGGCTTTTAATCCAATGAATCATATGGGAGTTTTAATACATCACCCACTTTTAATATTGCCTATATGTGTATTCCAATCATCCTTCTACCCATTTCCAAAAGTTCAAAAATCCCCTGTTGTTGTTGTTACATATTGGAATCATTGCTATAACAAACAGTATAACAAAATAGCTTGTTTGGCTTAATGTAACAAAAGCTTTAAATTAACAAGAAACCAATGTGTGGATCTTGATACTCCTTGATAGTGTAATATAAATACAGTATATCATTACTGGAGACCAATTTTTGCAACATTTCATTTTTTATTCTCCTTGGTAAGGGTAGCATTTTATTTTTGCAAATTTCAAGAACCAAATTACCTACCTAATTACTCATATTGAGTTTTTTATAAGAATAATCAGAATTAAACTTAACATCATTTGATGGAAATTTACATTTATTTATTTTTTTATTTTGAAGCACTATAGGTGTTGGTTACTAGACTGCCCTCTATATATGATGTTGTTTCACAAGCATGCGCACATAAACATGGGATTTTTATTTAACCCTCTAATATTTTTTCAATGGTATATATGTTTTAATCGATTGAACATGAACTCATGTTATTTAAGGATTTGTGTCTGTGTTAGACTAAGTATTTTGACACCGTATCTGGTTTCTATATGAGATGCTGCTTGATCCAATTATTTTAAGGATTCATGGATAAAGATGCATATGTTTTGCGATATGGATCCAACACATATTTGAAATTGATGTACTCATATACAGAAAACATTTTTGGTTTGCTGCAGTATGCCAACAAACTACTGTATCGAATACTCTGAAACTTTTCAAAGTGTTATCAGAAATGATACAGGAAATTGTCCTTTTTGAGATGGTATGAAGTATGTTCACAGATTTCTATGTTCTTAATTAACATTAATTGAATTTGAAGTGTTTGTGCCCTCCTATCAACTCCATTCCTTCATGTGCCCATTCTTTGACCCATTGTATATCTAATTGATTTGTAACCTATATGGTTGTTCTTATATTTATGTGAAAAATAACCCCTTTATAAATGAGCTAAAAATATATGTATCCTTAACAATGACAATTACTTCATTCCATGCATATTGTGTAAGTTTGCATCTGTTTGTATTTCAGTTTCCCTGGTTTTAGTCGACTCAAGATGCACAATAAAGGTGGCTCCCCAGTAGCATTTGTTGAATATCAGGTTAGTATGACTCACTGAATTTAATAGCATTTATAAATCAGATTTCCGGGTTTTTGAAGTCTAGACTCCGAATTTTCTTGTCTGAAAGTGGCAATCTTTTCAGCTGATCTTGTTATTGCATTTGGGATAAACATACTTATATTCATCCCAGATTTAATTAAGGATTTAAGCCCAGTGCTCTGTGAACTTTTATTATTTTTTTCATGAATGTCTTGCATCAAGAATTTGAATGAAGGAGGAAGCCCAAATTCAAAGGCTAGGATGCAAACTAGTTCATTAAATCACCCACAATTCATTGAGCCATGTGCCTATTCTTTTAACAAATTGCAAAAGATTTTTACAATATGTGTACTTGTACAATGGAATCGAACATGCATGATTTTATCAATGTATTAGTTATTATGTGGAAACCAATGTATTTTGAGGTTTGGAAGTATGTTTGGCTGTCCCAGTGACTTTGTTAATACTTAGTAACTACATCAACTGATATAATGAAATAACCAAAAACATTTTACCCCCCTCCCAATAACAAACTTTATGCTGCTGTAAATTGGAGTGATGTTTTAACTTGTGTTTTGTGTTCTCCATGCAGGATCTTCGGTTTGCTAATGAAGCTATGCAGCGTCTGCAAGGGTTTGTCCTACTATCGTCTGAAAGAGGTGGGGGACTCAGGATAGAGTTTGCCAAGAACAAAATGGGCGAGGTAAGAAATAAGACTTCTTCTGTAAATCATTGTGTTTGTTAACACAATGAAAGCTAAACACCTCATGATATGAACATCTATTGTTAGACCCATTTTTAGTCCCATTGAATCATGTCACAATCTTTTTGTATTCTTGCGTGAGTAGCTTGTCTACTGTCTACTAGAATGCTTTAATAAAAATAACAAAATAGTCCTTTATATAGTATACTTTTTGAATTGGAACAAAATGTTTTGTACTTTCAGAAAGGAAGGGAAGATCAATTGTTTTTACCTGGACAATCCCTACAATCGCCCACCCTGGCAAACCAAAGCACGCTTCTTTACCAGTAACCATAGCAACTGTATCCATGACAATGATGAGCAATAAGCAAACATAATCTAAACAAGCAAACAAATAAACAATCAATCAACAATCAATCATGCTACGAGGAGTCACCAGAAACTAAATTATTCATGTATATATGGAACTAATCAGGATTGAAGATGTAGACTAATTATGATTGGTCGATCATGAAACTATGTATATATTTGCAGATTTTATGATGTTGTGAAAACATATCCATATAGAGCTAGTGTAGAATATAGCATATCCTTGTATATACCCCCTTAGCTATAGAACCAGACTGCATTGTCCTGATACTCATCTTGAGGTTTTCATAGCTAACCCCCACGGCTAGAATCCCTTGACATGCTATCGGGTCAAGTTATTATATTGGAAAATATGAGATTTTCCATCCGTCCATTTGCAAAGGAAACATATCGTTGATATTAGAGATAATTGCGAAGAAGTCAAGTTTACGGCTCCTTCAACAGTACAGCAGCAGTGAATATTATCATCATTGAACAGTATCATCATCGAGCTATCATCATCTGAGTACTTTCAACATCTTGCAAGATATTTGCAATAGTTTGTGTCTCAATCTGGACTCTAGAATTTGGACAAGTAATTGTTGATGGTATCTTGGGACAAATGAAAATCAAAAGAACTCCATGTGTCAATCTCTGTGTCGGCTAGTGAACTGTATTGTCATATACACAAAAGCACAGCATATCTCAAATTAAACAGCATATCAAATTATTTATGGTGTGAAGCATTTGACTTTCAGGGACACGCTAAGTGACTCGACTGAATATTGTACTCCATTTAACATTATTGTACTCAACTAGGCATTGTTGTACTCAACTTATCTGTCTCACTCCCATATCTGCTGTACTGCAATATTATTTCCTCCCTACACCTGTTAGACTTGCATTTGTTACTTGCATCTTACATAAGCATACTCAAACTGAATGCATATTAGGTCTCCGACAGTACACTGAGATACAGTTCTCAGTTTTCTGCATTAAACCCAAATATTTAAATGCAGTACTGTCAGAGCCCTAATGCATTGCTGCGCACAAATACATTGTGTTAGCAAAGCATAGAAAATGCCAATTTTGCACTCTTACAAATGATGTCAGTTTGGTCGTAATCAATTTATTTTATAAGAAATATGATTTTCTCTCATCTTATTACTCATTTTGGGTGTTTTCAGGTTTGACCCGATACTGTTTCGTTTGTAAGATATGGCATATTTTTAGAAATTGGATAGTTTCCTATGTGATGGTTATAAATCTCAGATATTATGGTGTCAAAATTTTGATGTCATTATTTAATTGTTATGGCAACATTATGTGACATCATCCTGATCTTGTTAGATATTTGTTTTGTATATATATTTTATTTGAATTCTGTAAATTATGAAGTATCCGAGGGTAAAGGCAAATATGTCTCATTGTACCATATCTAAGATTAACAGAACTGTATGTATATACAGCTAGCCCAAGTCCCATTTATAACTAAACGAGTTGTCATAGCAACAAAAAACATAATTTTTCACCTTATATCACCAGGGCACAAATGAATTGTATTTTATTTTGAGCTAAAGCTCATTTGACTGATTTCTGTAAAATTCTGTTTCAAGTCCCTGGTGTGGAACAACATTCCTAATAGAGCCATAGATGTTCAATATTCAAATACTATAAAAGGGCACCCTGACCCAGCATGCAATTCAAGAGGGCATATATGTATATGGGTTGTATCTAATATGATATTATTGTATTATAGTACATAAGTTGCTTGCTAGATGTCAGGAATAGTTATGGCAGTGTTTTAATAATATAAATCCGAAATGTAAGAAATATAAAAGGATGTACCGATAAGGCTGCCGATGTGTATAGACTGAACATGTAGAGTATTATAGGGAATTGTCAAATTGGCTGACTATGTTCAATTTTATTCAAATACTCATATTGACTCAATATTTTATTTCAAATATATTCACATTTATGAAGTTTTTATTTGAGAGCCTGGGAAGTATGGATGGCAACATGTACTTGTTAATGCTGAAATTGGCAGCTTATTGCCAGCATATTTTAAAACTCACATTGTGGCTCAAGGAAGGCTCATTCAGATAAGTTCTAAGGATTCAATTTTGAACTCTCGAACTGCAAATGAAATCAAGCAATGAATCAATAGTGGCTCAAATACAGTTCCTATGCAATTTAAATAACACTTCAGAAAAGAAACCCCCATAAATAATACTCGCTAGCTATATTTCCCAGACTCTCCTTACAGCGTTTATTTGGCAATCCAGTATGCATGGCTTGTGTTCGCACTTTATTGTGGAAATAGTCATTTTAAAACAGGGTTCTCTTATTACGAAGCATTAGATGCTTCAGCGAGAGATATTGTTGCACTTTAGAGAGTGTAACCATATTAGGTATTGTTATGTATTACTAATATGTATATGTATTATTGAATAGTATATTGCATCATTGTATCCGCTTTGTATATATTCAGTTATAGAATGAAAGAGTCTAGTAAAACATATTGTTTTAACAAGTACAATGAAATCCATGCTGTGTTCCTAAATGCAGATTTTCTGCACTATATGTACTTGTTGATCACATAATTTATTGACTTTAAGTTAATTTAGAAAAGTAATTTATTTACTTGAACTCTATTTGATGTATTTACATATTTAAGTAATGATTATAAGTAATTAAGGTTCAAAGGGTATCACAGTGGATACATGTCTTTGGTTCATGAACATGTCATGAATGTTCATGAACATATTCTAGACTAGAATATGTGAGAGATTGTGTCCACTTTGTCATTCTTTAAGATGCATTTTCTAGTGAGCTATGATCATTGGTTTAGAAACTTTTCGAAACATTTTACAAGTGTATACAATGCAAATATGCATTTAGAGCATTCATGTGTGGTTCTTAGATGTATTTATTATCGAGGGCAATTTCAAAGTGGATTTGAGAGTTGTCTTGCAGTATGAGTTTTCCTGTATATATAATATATCTATTTTACTGGTTAACCCCTTCACAGCCGCTAGTGTGTATGTGAATATCAGGCTGTGTGGGGTTAATATGTAAACCCTGATGAAAATGCATTTTCTCATGGAAATCCTTCAAATCTGAACACAAGAAAATAATCATGTCTCAGTTCAGTATTTTTCATGAGAAATTCTAATGTTTGTGTTTTCCGCATGGTGTACAGTATGAAGTTTGATCCACCTAACAGAGAAAGTAGAATCATCCCTGAGTTTAAGAATTGCACATATATTCTATCTCCAGCCTTCCCAGCCAGTCAGTCAGTCCTACACTACCCCTTACACTTAATGTAGTTTATTTGCCATCTAACACAAGAGTCACGTATGACACTATCATGGTGAATCAGCATCTCCTTTAGGAGACAATGGGATACCGTTGACTCAATACCACTTTGACTGATAATCAAACTAAACATTTTACAGAAACTCTAAAATATATTCCATTTTGATTTTTGAAATCCTTAAAATATCTCATATGAGTATTCTATATATGTCTTACTTTCAATTGGAATTTAATCTTTGTATCTTTCAAATCATTAATTCTGATGAAATATGCTTCATGAATCATGACATTATAAAGAATTTACTATGATAGTGTATTACCCTCTTCATATATTAATTAGATTTTAACAATGAGCAATTTTATACAAAGTGTTTATGATATAACTGCACACAAACCTGGCTGGGGTTAAAGCTGGTGATATTTATCCATTCTTGCCAGACAAAATCAAGTATAGTGCAATGAAATCAAAGTTTGCTCAAATTGCAAAAAGTTACAAAATGGAATTTTGCTCAGAGGTGAAAGGTTAAAAGAATGTTCAAGTATTTTGTGATGTCACAGGGCTGTATATATATTATTATGTATATAAAATGCACTTGTTGGTCTGCATATTTCTAGCTATTTGTAGTTGCTTTCCTGATGTTTCAAAGAAAAAAATCTGACATATCTAATGTCTATGTAAACCAGAATCTGTACTATTTATGCATAATTCAACTACATGTACATGTATATGTCTTCAAGGAATTCCTTGATCATGAATAACTTATATGAAATATCAAGTATCTTTTATTCTGAATTATAATATAAATGTGTTGTGTGTTGTATTCCGTGAGCTATAGAATCAAATATCTGAAACATTTCGAAATGTAAAGCAGGATTTTCAAATTTGCTGATTATGAAACCTGGATATTCCAAACTGAATATCATTTAGTTTGGATTATTCCAGTGTTTTTTATCAACCAAAAGTTCAATTTATCTTTAATTCTGATTCAAAGCTTTACATATTGTACTTTGTATCTTACTGTCTATCCTACATGGCTCATATAATAAGTAAAACATATGCAATTTCTTAGAACCTTCTTAATCAGGAAAGGGTCTACAGCTTGTGACATCACTTTATAAAGAGGGTGGACTTTATAGATAGGAAAAATAGCTCGACTATTTTTTATCTGGAATTTATTGTTCTTTATACTTTAATAAAGCAATAAAATGTACCAGTATATAAATAATGTTTTATGTTGGTTGAATCATTTACACTAAATATAATGAGGTGTATCACAAGAAAATGAGTCTTAATAGGCTTTACCGGCATCAGTGGTCAATTTAAAAAAATTGAAAAGTGGGAATATTTTAGTTTGATTATTTAATAGAATTCCTCCCTTCAAAATGTTTGCTTAGAAACTCTTCTCGGGTATTGACTTTGTACCTCCTCATTTCACATGGTTTTCCTCTTAATTACACGTTTTTTCCCATAATTACATTTATAACCATAACCAGTCTTGATGAATCAAATTATTGAATGACCATCATATTGAAATGTCTTTGTTCAAATCCAAGAACATGTCATTTTGTTCAATACAAATAGTTTACTATAAGGGGGAAAATTGGCAATTTTGGCTATTGGATGGTTAACTTACTGAACACTGATTGATCAGCCATTCCATTAAACAAAGCTCTGTTGGGATATATCATAAAGCATGTATAGGACACACTCATATTATTACCACCTTGCCGGGCCAGTTCTAGGGGTTTTAGTGCTAGTTTAGAAGGCGTTTATTTTACTATATCGACCTGAGAAATGTGTGACGTCATAGTGGTGGTCCATATGGACCGGTCTAGAATATATTCTGGACCGGCAATTTTCCCCGGGAAATTAGATATTGTTCAATGCGTAAGATTTTCTTGCTGTTTCAGTCCTGGTCGTTAACGGTGGTAATAATACTAATAACGTCATTTCTGCGAGCAATATAGTGAAATTTTGGACCTTGGGCCTTCGGCCCTCGGTCCAATATTTCACTATATCGCCCTTAGAAATGACGTTATTGTACTATTGTTATACTTTCATTTGTCAAATGCTGCAGATAGATGGAGCTCTGATTCTGTATTTGACTATATATGCTGATTCATTTAAAGCGATCTATACACAAGGGGAATTTCTGGTATTGCTGCAAAATTAGAAATGACCATTACTTTCACTGAAAAATTGGGAGTACATGTAGATGTACTTGTCTAAATCTTGAACACTATTTGAAAGCTATTGCTGATACTTGCCTAGAAACAATAATAGGCCTCTTCACAGCATGGCAGAGCTTCCAGATATTTTCTCATTAAAGTGTATCAGAAACTATATAGAGTGTGCAAGTGTTATTAAGGCACTTCCTGATTTTGGTATGAGAGAAGTTAAGATGTGAAAACTCACATTTAAAATTCCATGTGGGGTGGAGAAGAAATGAATAGGAAAACCTGGGTCCAAATGACTAGGGTCTTCATTGATGGATTTTAAGTGGTAAAGGGGAGACAGAAAGTTGTCTTACCAGAACCTCCTTCATACTGTTCCAGAAAGAGTCCAGTAATATGGCCTCTATCTCAAAGATAATTCAAAATAGAAACAATTTTCTTGAGGATAAAAGATAATAAAAAAACGAAATAATTTTCATATATTCTTTTATTTCATATTTAATACTGTACACACTGCTACATATAATTAATTAAAAGAGGTTACAAACCTTGCTATAGTTTCAGTTGTTATTCATTGCGCATATCACAACAGATCATCAGAAAAATTATAAAATTATTTAAAACCATTACAAAGAAAGCTTGTAACCACACAAGGGCACAACATAATTATTCTATAGCTTAATTTCGCTAACTATAGCTTAATAGTAAATCATTAGATTATGGGAAGGAACTTCACATTTTGATCTTATCAAATGATTCAGAATACAAAAAGCTCAAAATCTACAAGATTCAGTTTTTTGTCTTACTCAAACCTAAGGTATTTTTTTATAACATTCAGACCTAATTTCTTTTAGAAGGTTCAGCCTTGCGAATAAGACCTAAAAGTCTTTTTCCTACATGTTTAGAAAATGTATTCAAGAAAGTGCTAGCATTAACTCCTTAATCTTTCTCGTTCAAGACTTTTACTAGCTCTAATAGCATAAAATATTTTCCCCAATTCCAGCCTAAAGATCTCTACACCAAATGAAACATTCCAAATATTACTACATCCATGACTATTTAGTTTTGCAAAAGTCTGAAATTATTGAAACTACGCTTTCTCATTGAAGTTATACAATTATTACAAAATCACTGCAAAAGGCTACAATAATATCATCATTTATCATAGTTAAGAACACACAGGAACTACAAATAAATACTACTTGGCAATACTGATTGCACCATATACACAAACATCCATACAATGCAAAACATAACTGAGAAAATTCAGTTTCCCTTATGTTTGGACGAATCACACTTAGCCAGAATAAAAATGTTGTATTGTATCACAACTCATTCTATATACCCCTTCAATTGCCATTTTACATATTTTAGAGAAGTGAATCTCTTGAGGGGTTTCCGAATTACCAAAAATGTCTTCTAAACATTTTTACTCAAATGACCAACATTGCTATGCTTTCCTTTCACTATTCTGGTACCTCAGCTAATAATACGTATAATTGGTGACCTATCTCACTTGCCATGTGTTTACTGTCATATAGACTCCAAAGTTTAATTGTTGTCTGTTAAGTGGAAATATGGGGTGAAGGGGAGAGAAGACCTAACAGGCAGACTTTTTCCTCTTTTTTTCTTTAAATACATACCAAAATGAATAAAAAATCTTAGTATCTTAAACAGCCAATAACAAGGATTTGAAAAGAAAGATTTTGAGATGACATGTAGACTATTCAACAGGCATTTCATTTGTAAGATCTTTATCAGCCTTTCGAAAAACAAGCAGATCCTAAGGGGTGCTAAAATTTATAGCAGAAGACATGCTAATAAACTTATATTCCCCATCTGTGTTAACTATTCAACATAACATCAACTCCATCACTTATACTGCACTCCGGTCTGTCCTTTATAAGAAGTGTGATGATAATATATTTTGATAATTTATCAAGATACATCAGCTATTTTGGTTCCCATATACTGAATTGTAGTATCGTTGAAACATTGATCTATTTTGTTTTCTTTAAAATAATCAGGTGTCAAATCTACCGACAAATAAATATCCAGCATTAACTGCTATTAGATTAGACACAAAAAATTTAATTTAGACCTTGAGAATTAGGTACTATAGCAACAACTAGTTTAGAGATCATAAATTTAAACGAACTAGAGTACATTTTAAATAGTTCAAAGCTTGACATCACCAGTTAAATTGAGTGAAAAGTGCCTCCTGAGACTATATTGAACATTTTAAATAGTTCAAAGCTTGACATCACCAGTTAAATTGAGTGAAAAGTGCCTCCTGAGACTATATTGTGCGTCAGGCTACAGCAGTGTAATTTTAGTTTAAATCAAGTGTAAAGCTGTGTTCGTTAAGGTAGGCAAAGAGTAATGAGTAATCTGAATAAATAACATGGGATCACAAACAGAAACTGCAAAGTTGAGAATTCCTGAATAAATTGTAACCATGGATATAATGATGTCATAGTAAGAGAACAATGGATGTAGGAATTCTTAATTTTATGAATTTTCTGTTACTGACCCCCTGGACCTTTAATACGTATGCTTGCATACAAAACCAAGTCATCCCACGAAGTCTACCTACACATGGGAAAGTATTCTGACCATTGGTTACTATTAATTTCACAGGTGGTATCCATGCCACAAGTATACTATGCTTAAGTTCAATAGTGACATAAATACAAACTGAGAAGCTAGACTCCTAATGTTGTGTTACTGTATCATTATGAAGCCTAGGGTAAATAAATATTTAGCATAGTTTTATCTTTGTAGAGGAATGGCTTTACTTTGAATTTTTCTTAATCCCATCATTCCAACAAGTTTGTTTAATTAAAGAGAACTATCCATTATTCTGTCAAAACAGACAATTGAGGTTTACTTTAAATAATGCCGCATTGAACTCAAGTATATGGATAATAGATAAAGGGATATGCTAAACATTTAATTCTTCACCTAGCCTAACTTTAAATGAGATAAAAGCCTGAGTATTCAGTGCACAAAGTGTTTTAACTTTACCCTCTACTTGGTGTACATACACAACTGATACAGTGTAAAATAATCTTAGAGGTTGGATATAAAACCTAGTCCTGAACACATATAGTATGAGAACAATCCAACTGGAGAATTGCTAAAATCACCACATTTTCATACTTCATATGTTTCTTCCAAGAACAAGTACCGAGTCTAAATTTCCATAGTTTTTGAATCCATTACACCAGATTCGATAGACATCCATTTCCTCTACCTTCAACAATGTGAATGAAAGGCATAGTGAAATATATGAAGATCTCCAGATAATATATTTATATCTATAAACTTTCATCTGACTCTATAGCTGCCCTGAGTTGGATGTCCTCCTCAATGGGTATAAGCATGCCACCATCTTGGCTCTCACTTAATGTGTTATCACCATCCTCTGCAAGTACAGAAGCACATCATAAGAAGTGAGCAAAAGCAAATAATATCATATGATTATGAAATGGTGATTTCTAGATTCTGAAAATATTTAGATTAAAAACAAAATCTTTTCAACTAAGCCCCTGACTAAGGTCTGTATTTCATTTTATAAAACTTACAATTCCATACCACAGAAATCTCTAAAACTATATGTATATTTCACAATTATGTTATTAAAAGGAATTGAATATTGTATTTCATAATTTTGTCATGCAGACAATATTTTGTTCTGCCAAAAATGGAAGTTAGTAATAGTTTTACCGAAAGCATCGTGCTAGCCTATAGTTTATATAGGAATGCTGAAACTGTAACTGTAAAAATAGGAATGCTGAAATTTCATCTAATCACCTGTCCCCATTAGGTAAGAAATTATTTATTTCAAGGCCACATTAATTATTATAGGCATGAATTCACAACTGAATATCTATAACATGAAGAAAATATTTCTATGAACTCTAAAGGGATGTCTAGCTTTACCTAGATTGTTCGCATCTATTAAAGATTGGTCTTCATCATCTGTGACATATCGTTTATCAACAGCTTGTTGGATGGTGCTGTTTGTATTGGCACTCTTTGGATCCAGGTCAGTGGCCCATGACAGATTCATAAGTGCTAAATGTGTATTGCCTAATTTTTTCTGCACCTGAGGAGACAAAGAACACAATATTAAATCAAGTAATATGTACAGTAAAACCTGTGTATGTGGAACATTAAACCAATGGGTCACAGGATTTTTTTAACTTCTTGTTCTTCTTGTCTATTCTTATGTTGAATAAACAGAAATTATTCATGGATCTCCCCCCAGCTGTTGCATTCAAACTTTACATTCGGGTCATGAGATGCTTTGGGGCTAAGTAGACACATTTTACTTCTTTATACCCGTGGGACAATGAACATTTTCTCTGAGCTTAGTTTGAGTAGATTAAAAGTAACAATTCGGAACAATTAAATTATAGAGTACTTAGTGAATTGAATTGTTCAATTCTAATGCGGTTTATTTAATCAAAAAGTTATGGATGAATTGTTTCTCCTAATTCAATAATGGTTTGTACATCCCCAAGAGCACTACCCTTTATATTATATGTACTTTATAATCGTACAATTTCTCATATAGATCAACAAGAATACATTTATCATTGCAGGGTCTTAAAAACCAATATATTTTATGCAGATAATTTTCTTACCTTTCCTATAAAGAAGTAAACTAAAGATTCTTTTGGTATAATTTGTTTGAGTTCTTCTAATTCCGCTAACGCTTCCTGAAAATATAAAAATATAAAGAATATTAATTTTACAGAACTTAAAGTTGTAAGTGAATACTCAGAATTATCTACCTAAAATCTTATTAGTGCTTTGTTTGTACAATTCATAGATATGATCTAAAATACAATACTCAAGAATTTTTTCAGCCCCTCAAAGTCTAACCTCCAGTGCCTACCACCATGCACAAATATATTTTAACACAGTCAATAATATTCAATAATATTCTTACAGTGTGTTTATCATTGGAGGACAATATAGAAGCTGTATGATATTTACATAATACATAGAAACGATGTCTAGCGACTAACACCCCCTCCTCCCAAAATTCAGGAATCAATACCAACATAGGCAATAGGCATTGTCAAATGTACTTACAGTATGTTTATCATTAGAGAACAATATAGAAGCCCTATGGAATTTACACAATGGGTTCTTGGGGTCTGCTGCTACTGCTTTGTTAAGGGTTACTAGTGCACTGTCTGTCTTCTGTAGGGCATGTTGTACCTAGAATGAAATGCAGTTTTGAAAAAAGTGACACTTAATGATTTGTTTCTTACCATGCACTAAATTCTCATTTCTTATTTAACTTGAGAATATAATATTGAAAGACTTATTGAGCTGAAACTAAAAAAAAATGAAAGGAAAACAAATTCATAATTGAACTCTAGCCTAAGATTTTCACATGCAAGTTCTACTAAAACCAGAATTACCAGATCACATATTTAACACACAAGATATTGCCATTTATATAATGTGAAAATTGTAATGATATTCGTCAAAATCCAACCAAGCATCTTTGGGTTTCAGAGACCCTGAGCTAAATGTAATGATTCAAATAAGACATCAATAATGAAATAACTGTTAGACTTACCACCCCTATGTGACAGAGTAGTACTGAGCTTTGGGGGTTTATAGACAGAGCTTTCCTAAAGTGCACCTCTGCTAGAGAAAACTTCTCTTGTTTGTAGTAGATCATTCCTATACCATACCTATAAAATATGAAACAAAGCAATGACAATATAGCACTTTTTCAAAGTGTGATAATAATAATGAACAATCCTGCGGATATTTCCTACATGATAGAACTAACAACTTGTACAATTTAAGTTTTCACATGATATTTTGTCAATGACTTATTTTGTTATTGATGGTATTAAAATTGGGCTTTTCAATATCACAACACAAGTAAATTTTCAGTGGTACAAAACTGCAAGTAATGTCCAAAATTCAACTTCTATGCAGATATTATCACATCAAGTCTGGGAACCCCCTCTCACACCCAATATCTATTTATTTACCCAATATGTACGAATGAAGGTTTGTATGTTGGTATTTATGTATGTAGTCTTAAGTAGCATCCAATTAGTACTTGGTTGTTGTGTTTTGATAAAATTATATGTGGTGAGCCTTAATTCAACACTGGAAGATGGAGCCAGAGAGCCCTAGGGGCGGGCGGGTGTTCTTTATCGTGCACAGAATAACAACACACAGCTTTTTATCTGAGTTGTTGACCACTTTTTCAAGTGAAGTCTTACCAAGCATTATAATGTCTTTGGTCTACCCTGATTGAGTTTCTAAAACACGTCATAGCTTTATCATACTCTTCTGTTGACACATACTCATGGCCCAGTAGAGTGTAAGCATAGGCAAAGTTAGGATCAACCTGAAACACAGAGGAAGAAATGCAGTGGAATGAATATTAAATACACAATCTACACCGGCAATCTGCAACCAATATATTGATGTCGTTTGGATGGTATTCAATCAATGTCAAAAGTGGTTGGTATTGAAACAACCTCAAAATCCACTGACACCAATAGAATTTGGGTGTTGGAAATAGTGCCGCATCAATGTTGAATCAACACGTCAAATTATATTGAATTATTAAATGTATGGTATTACGGTATGTTAAATGTTTGCTTATGAACGTCAAACTAAAAACAAACCTGAATTGCCCTTTGAAAGAACTTTATCGCAGTATCGTGTTCTTTTTGTATTGAGAAGCAGTTTCCTGTTGCGCACCAAGCTTCGGGAGCATCCCGATCTAATTCTGTTAATTCTTGAGCTAGAGCTGATAGCTGAACCTCTTTCTGAAGATGCCAATAGGTGGTGCTGAGAAACTCCATGCCTTCTAAGTGATGTGGCTCTAACCGCCGTACATCATTAAATATCTTTTCAGCCTAAAATAATTAAATATTCATGCAATTAGAAATTAATAATTTCAATTCAATTTCGATCTAATTCAATATACCTTTCACAAAATATTTTTTCAATTTAAAGTTGGTTGCATTCATTCTGATTGAGCCACTTTTTGAGATTACACATTAAATCAAACTTACTTTTTTATATTCTGCCATTTCAAAGTAGGCCCTGCCTATATTGCTAAGCACCCATCCTGTGTTGTAGTGTTGGGGCTGGAGGTCTGTAAACAACTGGATGGCTTTCTTACACTCATATTGACACAATGCCTGGTATGCCTTACCAAACTCTGTCAGAAGATTCAATAGACCCTCTGTAATAAAGAATTAAAATAGAACCAATTTCTGCAAATGCAACTACAGAAATATGTTGAAACAAGACATAAAAGTAATTATTTAAAGTATATTAACTCAAAACTGAGAGACCTGTGTTCTACTCATCCCAAAAAATATTTCTCTTAAAGTGGCCATACAACTTTTCACTTAAAGTGGCCAAATAGTGGCCAAATAACTTTTCACTTGGCCAAATAACTTTTCACTTAAAGTGGTCTTATCACTTTTCACTTGAAGTGGCGTCATCTCTTTTCACTTAAAGTGGCCAAATAACTTTTCACTTAAAGTGGCCTTATCACTTTTCACTTAAAGTGGCCTTATCACTTACCAGCAGACTGTTTCTGCAAGCTGACCATCATAGCATGTGCAGTAATGGTGGATGACTTTTCATCAGGTGACCTCTCAGATTTGTTGATTTCATTAAGTTCTTGCTGTGATTTACTAGTTCTGCTTTTAGATTTTTTAGCTGGTGCTTTTGTATTTGGAAATTTCCCCCTACTTTGACTTTTGTTATTTTCCTGAAATCAGAAATGATTTGATTAAAAGAATAAACAGTTTTCCTGGAATTTTGATTGAAGATTTATGTGGTGTCTGCCTGCCAAGTAATTTCAAAGTCTGTATCACTCTTCCCATTTTAAATAATGAATTTTATAAGTGTAAATTCTGCAAGGGAAAAGGCTAATCCCTGCTAAAAAGAAAATTCAAATATGATCAGATATGGAGGAGTTCATGTTTAGATGTTTAACATTGAATTTAGCATTGAAAAATTACAAATTAGATATTAAATTCAAAAAGTTTTAACCAAATTAAAACAACATGCTGAACAATCAAACAGTAACTAAAATAACACATAAATAAACAAATAAACAATTAAAAATAAAAATGGATGATTCAATTACTAAATTACATTTTGTGAAGTTGAGGGTTTTGTAATGTTTCTCATGATCTTAGTTGATGTGTTATAAGGTGCACAATAATTTCTCTGCAATGAGATGATAAAAATCACAGTAAATAGGACATCAGTCTTATTATAAAATAGCATAGGAAAGTGTTCACAATTCCAAGTATTCACTTCAGGAGTTCACACAAGTTTTAGTGTATTGCAAATAGATTTTAGTGCATGGTGGAGAAATGGAGACATAACTTTGAGAAATATTTCCCAAGGGGTTAAGTTATAATTGTTATTGTTATTCTTACCTTTACAGAATTAGAGTTAGCATTGCTAAATAATCTAGAACTTCTCCGTACATTCGGCACATTATAACTTGAGTTTTGTAGACTGAAAATAAAATAGTAATAACAGAATTGGCCTGTAGGCTATTTTCTTATGATGAGGAACAAATTGAGGTTGTAAATTGTTGCAGTTTGTTAAATCAAGATTCAATAAGATCAAAAGCTTTGTCAATAATAAAGTTAATATGGTTTCATGTTAGGTTTTCATAGAGGAACTTACGTGGTTTGAGGACTAGGAGTTTGTACATCTCGTGTATTTGTAATTCCAGACTGGGAGAATACTGGTGGTTTAGGTGGCCCACCCTGTAATTGTTGACTCCTCCTAGTCATAGGCTGAAAAACATACACAGGCATTAGTCAAAAAAATTTAGAGATGAGGAAAACATTCATAATTAAATTTATACAAAAATAATTTCTGTAAACATGTAAATAAGCAAAATATATTAGTATCAAAATATCTATTGCTCTGAATTAAATTTGAAAGGGGAAGGTGATTTTTGCACATTTTTATAAAAGGCAACATATCATACAAGCAGGGTGACGAGAAGCATTGATTTCAGTCAACTCACTTTTTTAGGTGCCTTGGGGTCCCCAGGTTGCGTTGACTCAACCAGGGCCTGAGCTGGGGAGGGGGTGATAAACGGGGACATTGAACCCAAGTTGTGTGGGGGATCACCAGGACTGGGGGTATCCAGAGGTAGCACTCCAAAACTGAAAGTATAAAAGTATATAATTTATGCATTGCTCAAAGATTTCTCTACAATCCCATATAATATTTACACAAATATAGGTGGTATTGAACAAACTAAGAAAAAAATGATGCAGAAGTTTTTATTGTTGTTTTATGTGATGTTTCTTCACTTCTTGTGCCAGAAAGTTGATAAAGTTGCCTGTATGATGCAATATGAGCACTAGTCATATCAACTTGTTTATATTACAATATTTACACAACCTAACTGCCTACCTTGGCGTAAGAGGACTAAAAGAGGCTGGTTGATTCAACAAGCTTCGTCCAGCACGTGGCCGATTGCGTAGCACTCTAGTAGTCTTGGGGGCAGGGGGGATATTGAACCCAGAGTTCTCATCATGGGGGTCTGGTGAGAAGAGAGTGTCTGTAGGCACTGTATTTTCTGGGGTCTGTACATGTGAGAACAAGATCTGAGGGGTGTGAATAGATAGTGGCGCTGTTGATTCCTAAAACAAAGATGTTGTTCATATAACATCAATCAAGTGCATCCATTTATTTTGTAGCACTTCACTTTTAGAGGCGTGGAACTCAATATAATACGAAGTTCAAAAATATTGTCCAGTCTTATAATTTGAAAAAAAAATTAACCCTTCAAGTTAAAATAATCATACTTTTGATAACATTCATTCCAAACTTCAATTCTGCAATATTCAAATTGTTAAATTAAAAAATTATATGGAACAAACAGAAAAAGGTTCAGCATCTTACAATCGACATTACCTGGTTATCTACAGTCATTGGTGTACCCTGATCTGTGTTCTGATTGGCTACTGGGGTTGCATTGGTCTGTTGTATGGTGGGATAGCTAGGGTGGTTTGTGTTGATTGCTGGGGTCAGTGACACTTGAAATATTTTAGTTGGGTCTACTTTCTCTCCTGGAAAAAATTAGTGTAGGTGTTCTAGTGTATTATTTCTGTATATTTCTGTTAAATTAAGTACAACTTTTACCCTCACTTGGTAATCCTTATATAAAATCCTTTCTCAAAATACAATCCATACGAATCTTGACTTGCGATTGCAAGACACTCTTGCTCCAGGGTCTAATAGGTTTTCCGGAGTCTAAAGTGTGTTTTCTGGAGTCTACATTTTTGTCACATTGTTTGTGGTAAAACTCTTGAGAAAATACATAAAACTGGATACCATCAAGGAATTGGAAGTCAGAAACCTTTTAGAAATGTATATTGTGAATAAAATAGGAAGATAATTTTAAGTAGTATTTTGAAATGTATACTAATGGAATATCTCTCTGATCTCACATAGGGGAGGAGGAGTCGCATTACCACCAAAAATCCATGGTCTAAAAATTTCCTGGTGAGAACCTGATATGGTTTTATTCTTAACTTACCTAGTTGACACAATGCTTCATAGCTTGACCAAAGAAATGGGTTCAACTTCAGACTCTTCTTATAATAGTCTACAGCCTTTGAGAGTCTCTCAGTTTTACTGTAAGCAAAACAAGTATGTCTGGTTTAAATATGGTATTCCAACCACACAGGAGTGTACTGTTTTCTTGAAGTTATGATATACTGGGCAGTCAATAAGTTAATAAGTTTTTGCTAATTAATTTGACAATAGTTTATTAATTTGACATTAGTTGATTAATTTGACATTAGTTTATTTTGGAGGAAGTGTCCTGAGCAGCATACAGTGAAATAAATTTCTAATTTGCAAATTCAGTGAATAATTAATGAAATGCAAATGATACTGATTTATTGTAACTTATACATATCATTCAGAGTATCAAGTCATACAATATATGTACCTGTATATATGTGCCAGTAGTGCCAATGTGTAACTTGCAGCCTCTCCATGTTCATTGACAATATCTTCATAAGCCTTGTTCTTCAGCAGAATGTTACCTGCTAGCACAGATTCAGCCTCTGTCAGCCTGTTAAAAATAAACATTCAATGAATGACAAGTGTAATAAGTATATACCAAAATAAAAATTCTAACAAAATACTAGGGAATCCTAACAATTATATAATGCTTTATTTTAACAAGGGATTTATATATACAAATCAAGCAAATGCACAGAGCTTTCATTATAGCAGGCAATTGGTGATTCTCTCTATTTTTTTTATTTTTTATAATTTCCAATAATTTTGCCTGTTTTTTTCATTTTTTAAATGCCTATTGTCAGACATTTTAATGAAGACCATGTAATACTGAACAAATATTTCACTCTATTGAGGTGAATACCTGTACATCTTTCACAAGTGATATTCCACGAAGCCCGAAGGGCAAGTGGAATATCACCTTGTGAAAGTGCTACAGGTATTCACCGAAAATAGATTGAAATATTTGTTTTATTATATCACTATCTAGCTAAACATCCCTAATATTATTAAGTCATAGGTTAACATTGAAATACATTGAATCTACTCAGTTCCTCTGCCATTTTGACTTACACTGAACTAAATTATTTACACTGAACGAAAACAAATTCTTTGAAAATTCCCGGGATCGTGGGATATCGCTAGATATCTCACGGTTGTCTTATCTGATTAGCATAGCCATTGAATATCGCCAGATATCCCACGACATATGACCCAGTTTTGACCAATCATACTGTCGCTAGCTAGATAGTGATATAATAAAATATAATATTTCTACAGATATAATATTTATTACTGACTTCTTTATACTGATGCAGCATTGGGCTAGGAGGTATTTACACTGGGGCGTGGCACATCCTTTACTCTTCAGCAATGTGTATGCTCTGATAGTCTTCCCAGCTCGGAAATAACATGTTGAGAGTAAAAATAATGCATCATCTGTTCCCACTGGAAAAAGAAATACAATGTCTGCATTATAGGGAGAGCTGGCTAAAGTCACTAATTACAACAAAAGCTTGTATGTCCTGAGTTTTTAATAATGATACTTCATTTTTAGGTTAAAGTATGTTTTTGCACTATATAACACACTAGGAAAATCTAGTAATTGTAAAAGTCTCTCTTTCTTCATTGTTTAAACAATGATTTGTAGCACAGGTTAATTGAGCATTTTAAAAATATAAATCAAATTCATTAGTCCTGGGGAATGAATTAGGTGCACCCTTATTCCATATATTCATTAATCGTTCACCTTCCTCATCATAAGTATATTACTAAATTATTGATTAATTGCTTGGAGTCAAACAAATCATGTTTGATCACCGATATATTATTTATAAAACAGCTAATCAAATGTCCTTGAGTAGTAAAATTTGCATGCTGATTTGATGGCATATTTCTAAATGAACTAATATACCAAACTGTTACAAATACAAGCAACAACCTGTCACCTGTAATTACAAAAGAACAATCATGACACACCAAGATGATCACTCAGAATTTAATAATAATAGATTGTGAATTACATTACAATCATATCTCTACAGTAAAAGTATGTTAATTACTATTACAGTGAAACTTGTATATATCTGAACGCCTCTCTTATCCAAACACCTCTCAATGTGAACACCTTTTTCTCTATCCCTAATCTGCCAGATCTGGGATGAAAAGGGTTTTATGTATGTTAAATGATGTATACCTTAACATAAGGTTGTCAGTTAACATTGATTGGATTTACATATTCAAAACTCAGGCACCCCTTTATCATCTGCTGGACTTAATGAAATCTAATCACCGTAATCAGTGGATGAAATGACATACTGTAAAAAGTATATGGTATAGTAATTATTATTCACAAGAAGTAACATTCCCCCAGCAGTACATGCTGGTATTTGTTGTTACACATAGGCATACATTTCAATGTAAATGATATCAAATATTTTTTCAGAAATGTTTGCAATCAATATATTAGAGAATGTCAAAGCGTCTGGTGGTTGTTGAATATTAGCTGGTCCTTTCTCGAGAATATTCTGCCAGACAGTTCTTACCTTCAGCATAGTCTTTCAGCAATGAATATGAAACACCTATTTTGAAACACCTTGTAGCTCAGTTCTTACCTTCAGCATATAGTCTTTCAGCAATGAATATGAAACACCTATTTTTAAACACCCTGTAGATTAGTCCTTATATTTATATAGTCTTTCAGCAATGAATATGAAACACCTATTTTGAAACACCCTGTAGCTCAGTTCTTATCTTCAGCATAGTCTTTCAGCAATGAATATGAAACACCTATTTTGAAACACCTTGTAGCTCAGTTCTTACCTTCAGCATAGTCTTTCAGCAATGCATATGAAACACCTATTTTGAAACACCTTGTAGCTCAGTTCTTACCTTCAGCATATAGTCTTTCAGCAATGAATATGAAACACCTATTTTGAAATACCTTGTAGCTCAGTTCTTACCTTCAGCATATAGTCTTTCAGCAATGAAAATGAAACACCTATTTTTAAACACCCTGTAGATTAGTCCTTACATTTATATAGTCTTTCAGCAATGAATATGAAACACCTATTTTGAAACACCTTGTAGCTCAGTTCTTACCTTCAGCATATAGTCTTTCAGCAATGAATATGAAACACATATTTTTAAACACCCTGTAGATTAGTCCTTACATTTATATAGTCTTTCAGCAATGAATATAAAACACCTATTTTGAAACACCTTGTAGCTCAGTTCTTACCTTCAGCATATAGTCTTTCAGCAATGAATATGAAACACCTATTTCTAAACACCCTGTAGATTAGACCTTACATTTATATAGTCTGGCAGCAATGAATATGAAACACCTAATTTGAAACACCTTGTAGCTCAGTTCGTACCTTCAGCATATAGTCTTTCAGCAATGAATATGAAACACCTATTTCTAATGACCCTGTAGATTAGTCCTTACATTTATATAGTCTTTCAGCAATGAATATGAAACACCTATTTTGAAAAACCCTGTAGCTCAGTTCTTACCTTCAGCATATAGTCTTTCAGCAAGGAATATGGCATCAGAATACTTGTAGTAGTTCAATGAATGCCAAATGGCAGCCTAGAAGAAAAAACAGTTTAAACTACAGAGACATTTATCGAAAGGTTTGATCTATTAAAGTAATGAAATTGGAAATTCATTTGGGTGGCATGGCCATGGGAAAATCGAACAATCAAACAGCACGTAGCAATAAGTTGAACAAAAAATACATCATTAATCCTGCTCAGCATAAAACAAAAGATTATAAAAAATCTCTACTGTGAATATAATCAGTTGAATAATTTGTTTTAGAATAGTACATGAACATCTATTAATCTTAAGTTCAGAGCAAGAATATGAGCTATAACTAGAAAAATTAAATTGTCAACATGGTTTATGAAAACTTGAGCCACGAACGAGTCTACAAAAAGTGGTCTTTTGATGTCTCTGTAAAAATTAATGACAAATTGCATGAATTCACTTCAAAAACAGTGTATTTGTGCTTCAAGTGATGCAAAGATCTAGGTCAAATAATATTGTTACGATATTCTAGAAATAAATACCTCCATTTTTTCTTAATAAGCATTACACTTATACATGTCATTTTTATATCTTCCTCTGTGCACAAATAAAATTTGTTGCAATAATGTTCGCTGGGATGGACATCACGTTTCAAACGTGAAGGGTATTTTTGTAGATTTTTGTTTATTTGGTAGTCTGATAATTTTTTAGCGTTCCCAGGACTTTTGAAAAAAACATTTCATTGTTATAAATTGACAGCTATACTCATTTAGTTTTACAAAAAAATATGAGGTCAAACAGAAAAATGATTTGATTTTGAACAAAAAAATCTGTGGTTAACTCCACATTATTGAAAAACTAAAGCTTTGAGCAACAACTACAAAATAATAAACAAACTACTTAATTTTTGAATAAATATGGCAAATTTCATAATGCATTTCTGGTGTACTCCGCGAAAATACTATACGTGTTTTCACCCCCTGTAGCGGCTAAAACTGACTTGAGCAAGTCGTGTCAACATGATGATTTGAGACCCACATTGCGTCAATAATGTGACTCTTAGACTATGTAACTATTTACTGCACTACTAATTTACTGTATACTGCTTCAAATCTACATTAAATGTGTTCAGATCTCTGCAATTTTGTTTGAAAAATATTGGAATGTTGTGATGATAATCTAAAAAATCAATGAATACATGTACATGTAATTATAAAAGTAGATTATCATGGCTCAAACTCCCCAAATTACAATAAGGCCACGTGTGACATAATACTAATTATCTGTAATGTACAAAAGTTTTGCAACCAAAATATGAATGTTTTTCAATATTGAACTGTGTGCCCTCAATTGTTTATATTTGAGGTTTGGCGACTCAAGCTCTCCAACAACTATAGTGGGAATCGCTGCAATCTCAAAGAGAGGCCTCCAGACTTGCCCTTTTCTAAAAAGGATCTCACAATCTTGCTTGATTAAATTCTTCATGTAGAGTTTGCCCAGTAAACAGCAACAAGCCTGTCTTGCGCTACTGGTAAATAGGGGTCATGCCATTGCAGTAGCCTGACAATCGTCCCCAGTGCATGAGTTCGAACCAAACATAGATCTTAAGTTTTAAAAGTTAACGGTTAAATCATACTCTATTCAAATTCTATCACTTTACAACTATATATCTGCTTTTAATGGGGTTATAAGCCTTTTGAAGATTATTGAAGTAGATATTGGGTATTGTCAGATACAGGGTATTGTCGGACAATCTTTCGTAATTTTTTGTTTCATATGATTTCTTTACTGGAACTTCAAATTGAACGAAACAATTATATTTATTGTAAAGTGTCCTATAATGCCCTGGATTTTAACCTGATAGCAAGGGTTTGGTCCGACAATGCCCTGTGGCCGAGAATGCTACTGCAGACTATAGTATAGTCTAGGTCCTCTAGATGACACACAAAAAAGTGATTTGGGTTGTAGGCTAGCTGTCGGTGTATTGCACCAAGGATTCAAGTTTGGATATCAGGTAAACAGAGGTTAAACACCATGAAAGTAGACACCATCTAGCAAGGTAACGTCATTGATAAAGACAACAGTCAATTTGTCCTTAGAGTTTTAGGTCAATCTGAAATGAAAAGTAGTCTAACATTAGACTGTATCCTTCGTCTGAATAAATATTCAGACTGTAAGTCACCTATTGTAAAATGTGGTGTTGTATAAATGTTACAAATAAGTTTGTTAAATGATAAAATAATTACCTTATAAAGTACTTACAATATTATTTTTTCGTATATTGTCCTCTTACTGAAGATATTCATAAAATGTACAGACGCTTCTTGTAGCGAAGCCATTGATTAGGTCAAGCCATTTTGGCAATGCCAATTCTCACGATAAACGAGATTTAGCCAGTGACGTCAGTCTATTTGTAAACAAATAACACGTGGAGCGGACGGAAGCGTGTTGATAAATTCCATTTGTGCGGGAATTTATTAGATCTAGTCATTTATTATCATTATCCCGATTAATTTTCTTCATTTATAGTAAATAGAGCGGAAATATTCATGAAGAAGGCCGAGGTAATCAAGTGGTCATGTGTTGTCAAAGTTCAAAAATGTGCATATCTCGTTTGGATCTCGTGAACTCAAACGTCCTTGACATTGATTTCGCGATGTACTTATAAACACATCCTGAAGTTTTGGTGAGTCTGAACATTTCATTATTTTATATCAACTTGTACCCGCCTTATACAAATATTTTTGCTTCTAGTTTAAGATGAACATCTCTTCAACATATTCACCAATTTTCAAGGTGAACATTCTTGTAATAAACGAGAAATTTATGTGCAAAAAATATCACCGCGATTTCCACAGGAAATGTATCAATCATAACAGACCGAATATTATATTCGGTCTGTTGGATACATACTAAGTCTAACATGGGACTTCCAAACCAATATGAGATGTGTGATCCAGGAGTAATACTAAACAGATCAATAGTTTTGGATGATAGCGAATACTCTATAGAACTGAGAAACAGGATCTGAAGATTTAGGATGATTGTTCTGTTGGAAATTGAAATGAATGAATGAAAAAATACAAAATAAATCTGAAATCAAAAAAACACTGCTCTAAACATTCCATAACTTCATAACAAAATTACTAAAAGCAATATATCTTACCTGAACGGGTTCTTGGACTACCATAGTATATTTTAATATTGACGGTGTATACTAAAATGTCCGTATATACATGTAGTGTAGAGTAATGTAAACTATAAAACTGAATATTCGTCCGCCATCTTCGAACGGATTTGATTTCAAAGTGAGGCACTGACGTCATTTTGGGATTTCCCTTGTTTGGAGGCAAAACTTGAAACTGCAATTTTCTCTTAGATTTCATCCTATAAGCCTATGTCAGCCAGGTAATATATACTGTTTTATACTTTCACAAACCAAAATTGTATTTATATGCGTTCAATGATGTAAAATAGTTGATACATCCCAAATCAACATATTATCGCCCATTTTATTCTTGATTTTTATTTTCATATCCTGTGATTATATTCTTACTTATTTCTCTTGTTTCATCACAATTGAATTATAATTTGATGCTTACAAACAAATAGAATTCAAAAGATGTGTACAGGGAAAGTGTTACTATCTCATGATTCTAGTCTGTATCTGACAATGACTGAATGAAGTCACTCTGTCTTACTCACGTCGAGAGCTACCATGTTAGATTTTGAAAGTATAGCTCTCTATCGCTAGAATCAACAGCTTAAGAATCCTGACTTCAAAGAAAATTCCGGGGAATTCAGCTGACTCATGTTGCACATTATATACCTGAAAATGTATCCTACATCGCCATCTTTCATTCAGCTCAACTATAGAACGTCTCACTGCCCTATGTATCGATCATGACTTCATTTTATTGGTCGTGTCAAAAGTTTTGGCCAGGTATATTCAATATGGCGGCTTGATGTTTCCTAAGTTGCGCATGCGTCGATAATATTTCCGTTTAACCACCATATTGGAAATGGGTATCAAACAATGAATTCAAAAAACGATTAGAACTCCTGATCGCCATAGAAGCACATCAGCGATCCTACATGCACGGGGAAAGTAGACACATATAAGCCCATATGTAGGCGACAGTTTGAGACAAACAGTAAGCCACTGAATGGCGCTGATCCAATTTAGATGTCACAATTCTTCAGCTGGAGATCCTCACCATGGAGAGCTATACTTTCAAAATCTAACATGGTAGCTCTCGATGGGAGTAAGCTCTGTCCACAGTGAGCACTATCAATCTTCAGATGTCTATGTCTATGTCAATAATCTGCAAAAGGCTAATAAGCCCATATAAAGCAGATATAGAATTTAACAGTGATAGAATTTGAATAGAATATAATTTAACACCTTAACATTTAAAAATAGATCTATGGTTAACATCTCATTTTACCTGGGGAGACTGTCAGGCTACCGCGTTGACATCACCCCTCTTTACCAGTAGTGCAGGCTTGTTGCTGTGCACTGGGGACCCTTTACATTAAAACATAGATCTATATTAAAAACACACCTATTTAATTGCAGTTATTGACATAGGCATAGTATGATGATTTAAAACTACTTAGACTGTCACAGTCTAAGATGTCGCCAGGTAGAGTGTTCCATTTAGCTATTGTCCTAGGGAAATAGCTAAATTTGTATGCATCCGTTCTAGTTGATGGTTGTATGAACTTAGAAGGATGATACAACCTAGTGTTGGTATTGATCTGTTGGCGGAAGTATGGAGGCACGTCGATGGCTGCTAGGTTCTGCTTTCCTTTGTAGAAAAGGAAAACTCTAGCAGCCTCTCGACGCTCCTTCAGTGGCTCCCACTGTAGGTCTTGAAGAGCTTTGGTGACGCAGCCTGGTTCCCTTGAGTGACATTTGGTTACAAACCTGGCTGCTCTTCTCTGTACCTGTTCCAACATATCAATATCTTTTTGTCGGTATGGATCCCATGCCGAGCTGGCATATTCTAAATTCGACCGTACTAGTGACTTATACGCCTGAGCCTTCACTTTTTCAGGGCATTGATGGAGGTTGCGCCTGAGAAATCCAAGCACCTTATTGGCTTTGGATACAATAGTTTGAATATGTGTAGTCCAGCGTAAGTTATTTGTGATGTCAATTCCTAGGTATGGGATGTGTGTTACCGACTTAAGGTTTTCCCCTAGCATGGTGTAATTGTGCATGATAGGGGATTTACCTTTATGAATATTTAGCACATAGCATTTTGATGGATGGAATTTCATTTGCCATGTTGATGCCCAGGAGACCAGTTTATCAAGATTCTCCTGTAGTGTTAATGCATCTTGCTTGCTTTCGACTGTCATGAATAAAAGGCTGTCGTCGGCAAAAAGCTTAAGACTGGCTGAGGATGATAGGTTATTGCCCATATCATTGATATAAACAAGGAAACAGAGTGGTCCAAGAACTGTTCCTTGAGGAACTCCTGATTTTACTGGAGTTTTTGAACTTGATTCACCATCGAGCACTACCTGTTGTGATCTTCCCACAAGCCAGGATCTGAACCAGTTCAAGTTATTATTGCGAATTCCATAATAGTCGAGTTTGAGCAAGAGGCGTTCGTGAGCCACCGTATCAAACGCTTTGGAAAAGTCTAATACCAACATGTCTGTTTGTTTATTGTTGTCGAGGGCCCGAGCTATATTCTCTATTGTATTGACAAGTTGTGTTTCACATGAGTGCTTTGACCTGAATCCATGTTGGAATTTTACTAGAATTTCATAGAGGTCAAAGTGGGCCATAACATGATGGAATATAATATGTTCCATTATTTTACATGGAACTGACGTCAGAGATACAGGCCTGTAATTCACAGCCTCATCTCTTCGTCCCTTTTTGTAGATAGCAGTAACATTGGCATGTTTCCAGTCCATAGGCACTAAGCCTTCATCGATAGACTGTTGAAAAATTATTTGAAGGAATGGTGATATGCTGTCACTGCATTCCTTCAGGACCCTAGTCGGAATAAGATCGGGTCCAGTGGCTTTTGATGGATTTAGGCCAGTTAGCAATTTGTGAATTCCTTTTGTCGAAATTTTGATATTTGGCATTTCAGGAATTTGACTAGGTACCATTGTCGGTAGAGTGGCATCCTCATCTGTGAATACAGAATTGTATTGGTCATTGAGGATGTTTGCTTTCTGGGCGGCGTCGGTTATTTCGTCGCCATCTTTGTTACGCAGCACGCTGATACCTGATGCATCTTTGCGTTTAGACTTTATGTAGCTCCAGAAGCGTTTGGTAATGCCTTTGTGCTGAACATTCTCATTTATGATTTCGCTTTCATCAATGTCAAGCCGATCGTTGATGTAGCGCTGATGTTCTTTACGAATTTCACTATGGATTAATTTCCGTAGTGATTTGTATTTATGCCAATGATGAGGTTAAATTGATTAAATCATTAAAAAAAATTCTGACAAGTTACAAAAATATGAAAGTTAAATAAACATAAAATATCACTGATCAAAGCCCCTGGCCGGACTTCATTCTATTATATTAGATATTAGATAAATGGTGTAGACCTTGAGTCTGTCAACCTTATTACAGTAAAAATTTAAGGTCAGGATGCATGTTCGACATTTTGATGCAATCCTCATTTGAGTCACATGTTATTTTTCAAATATGAATCACTCCTTCCTCACATTATCTACATCTTTCAGTTTTGCCCAAAGAGTGCACGTATGTGCCTAGAAAAGACTGGTGAGAAGATTTGTTTTGTGAAATGTACATGTATAAAAAACAAGAAAATTCAGTGAGTTTTTATACAATTTATGATAAAAATCTTCTCACCAGTATTTTCTAGGCACATAAGTGAAAGTGTATATTATAACAATTCAATTCAGTTTGGTACAATTAAATGTTAGTCAGATTTTGCTGTATCACAGCATATTGTCAAGTGGAAATAAAGCTGGGGGAAATAAAAAATGTGCAAATTAATTTACCCCATCGGCCAGATATTTTATTTACTCTGAAGAATTGTAAAAATGAACAAAAAACATTTGTACTAAAAAACAAAAAATGTTAACAAAAACAGTTATATAAAATATATGTAAATTATTTTTGCATTAGATCGTTGTCAATCAGTCAACATTACATGAAGGACCGTGTTTTTTTACAGAATGTTTTCAATAAAAGGTTTAAGAGAAAAACATTGTTGAATTCTGTTCACCATATCGATACCAATCCTTTATGCACAAAATTATCAATTTGAGGAAACATTAATTCACAAAAATAAACATTATAACACTTCAATTACAACTGGGATCTCGTAGAAACCTACTTTCCAAGGTCGATGGTCACAATACCCCCCCCCCCCCCCCTTTGAAAGGACTCAAACCATAGACATAGACATACCAAAATTTTTGCAAAAATGTTGTTTTGTCAAGATGCTAAAAGAAGATTATGTGTTATTCATTATTACTTATTAAGGTATATCAGCATGTTCAGATTTAAGTTATAATGGTTATTTTTGTGAAGTAACTAATGTATCCTTAAAATTTTGTTCAGAGAATTTCACTACAATTTCCACAGGACAGTATAATACAGTTGACAGCCTGACTTCTGGTCTGTCGGATACAGACTACACATCCTCTACTGGTTTTTCATTCCCTGAGTGTAATCACTTCTAAAGATTTGAAAAATCTGGTTTATAGAACAATCCTCTGTATTACATTTATAGGATGTCCTATGATTTTGAGGAATATAATTTTTATCTATGAGGTGACATTGATATCTGCACGAGAGAGCAAAGCGAGCGAGTGCATACATGTATATCAATATCACAGAGGAGATTAAAATGATATTCTGAAAAAAATCATAGGATGTTCTTATTATCCTACACTTACAAGGAGTGTACTAAATGTATAATATCATTGCAAAATGAATTTCATGCCAAATAGAGTCACTTTAGCGGGAAATCAACAAGCGAAGTATATCGTCACAATATCGTCAGCATATCGGGCTTTCCGGAGTATATCGTCATGATATCCTCTGCTCGGAGTATATCTTTGAGCGATATCCTCCAGTTATTCATTTTGCAAATAAATATCAAATTTATTTTTTTAATGTTATTTTACATTAGGACACTAAGTGTAGGATAATAACAGATATCCTGTGAAGCAAGATGTGTTCTCTTGCTACATTCCCAATCCCAGCGCACAATGGCTATGTGACAGTATGTGAGACGAATGGTGAACTTCTTGCAGTTCCAGAGGATACATATGATGAGCAGTCCACTACACAGGTTGGTGAAATTGCTTGTTTGTAGCTTTTTGTCATCTTTGTTGTTTTTGCCTGCATATGGTCATCCCAGGGTCTTTCTCAAATAGGTGTTCTGACATACAGAACAGTTTTAAAATAAGTTTCTCAAAATAATCCTATTTTTACATTTGTTAATTTTCAAGTGGGTGGAATTGGTTTACATGTGGGTGAAACCCTATGTAGTTGTAATTAAAACTGTATACATGTCCTGAAAACAAATCTTGTTTAATTTCAGAGTTTGAATTATCCAGTCGTGACACTCTCTACAGACTCCAGGAGATCACTGTCAACGGAAAGTGCAAAATCAGCATTTTTGGAGCATAAAGAGACACTGTGGAAAAGAATCATGTCTGCCTGGTATGAGGATGGAACAACAGGGGCCCTGGAGGAAGTTGCAAATAGCAAAGATATAGGTTCTTTTCATTCATATTATATTTGTGAAATTCATGAATGCATTTTGTTTAAGGAATAAATAATGATAGGCCATTCAATATGGTGAAATTCAGCACGAGTTGGACAGAATGTTGTACAAAGCACGAACCGAAGGTGAGTGCATTTGTACTAACATTCTGCCCAACGAGTGCTGAATTTCACCATATTGAATGGCCTATCATTATTTATTCCGATTCAAACATAAAAATTAGTAAAAGCCGTGTCTGTGGAACGGGCATGAAGGAAGAATACGCATGCTGTCAAGATTCTGAAGTCGGCTGGAAAAATTTTAGAATTTGTTTGGGCTGTTCTATTTTACTCCCCGTTTTAGATTTTATACAGTGTATGCAATAGTTACAGTAGTTACGGAGGGAGTAAAAAAGAACAGCTATCCCCGGACAGAGCCCCAGATGTGCAGCTGAGATGTGACGTCACTCAAAACAATGCAAATTGCAGATTGAATAGAGCATGGTCGTGCATCTATGGAGAATTAGAGAACGTTCTATATTGGCTATGCTGCATTCTGATTGGTTGAGAAATTCGAATAGAGCACGGTCATGTTTGAATATAATTTCTTATTTAGTCCGTTCATATTTTTAGAGATAAATGAAAAAATGACAGCATTCAAATGTATATTCCAGACATGCAGTGGTTGTCTAAAATTGCCTGTTGGGGTTTAGGTGGTGTCCGCTGGTGGAACTCTCTTCATGGATGGTATTCCCCCCATCTTGTGGTATATATGCATTTTCATTTACCATTACAATTGACATGGGCATTCAATTAGAGTTGAACGCCCATGTCAATTAGAACAACAACCATGGTATTTAAATGATCCTCATTTGAAATCAAGAGGGTGACCCTAATGTTCCAAAAGGATATATATTCTCAGAAGTTTAATGTCACATTCAAATTTCAATGGTTTTGTTTGATTTAAAGCAAAACTTGATGAGAACCCTTAAATATTTCTCACATATGACATTTTAGTTTCTCCATTTTCTGTTCTTTCAGCTTTCGAGTGAAGATATGACAGCTGAATTCTCAACAAATAGAGACTGGTAATTATGGTTACATAATGGAGTGTTGAGTCATATAATTCAATGGTTAAATGATTCAATGATTGTTTGTTTGAATCTCCCAGGTTGAATCCCTTATCATCTAAGAATTTTAGGGGGGGGGGATTTAAGGGGAATATATCATTGCAATGAGAGATTATGCACTGATTCTGATATTGCATTTCATTCATTAACAATAAGTGTCAAGCATGTTGAAATATAAAATAAAGTAGGTATTGGGCCAATGAGGACATAGTGATGATTATTACACTGTAAACAAACTACATATCAATGCTCTACACACCCGATGGTCTACACATCATAAAACTAACATTGTTATGAATTCCAGGAGTAAAAGTGATATTCGTTGTTTTGCCTGGCACCCTCATACTGTCAAGTTTGCAGTTGTCTTCAATGATGACTCTATCAAAGTCTACAGCAGTGGGCAAGATATTGTGCCCACATTGAAACATAAGGCTCAGAAAGGTGTCGCCACTGTAGCATGGAAGTAAGTAGTACATGTGTTCATCGTACATATGTATTACATTTTTGTAAAATGAAAGTATGATTTTTTATATAAAATGAGAGAGTTGTCTTCTGGGGAACTAGCCCTGGTCTTCTTTTAGAAGACAATGTGATTATTATTATTATTATTTTACATGGGCCTTCCAATACTCACACCTATCAACAAACCTGCGCATTGTTAAATGAGTAACAAACATTCACACGTTTTGTAAAAATTGAATCCAGGCATGTGTTTCATACATAGTTCTGTGTTATCACATGGTTAATGTTTGATCATTTCGACATGATCAAACGGCTACAAGATATTGACATGTCATCATTTCAGGCCCCTTTCTGCCTCAGTATTGGCTGTAGCCTGTCAAACATGCGTCCTCATATGGCATGTTGACCCAACCTCACTTGCCACAAGGTACAGTATTTATTTATTCATTTGAGAAATATGAAAATCTCTATAAATTAAATTAATTAGAGCCTAATATAGACCACTTACTACTAGACAAACTTGTGAGGATAAAATATGTCCTAACTTTTATGAATGAAAATAGATGGAGTAGTTTGACCACATTGTGAATGTTGTTTTTTATTCAAAACACATTATTTACTCGAGGGTACAAATAAATGTACCAATAGAAAAAATGTCAAACATGAAATGAATTACCATATCTATAAGTTTATTCTAGATATTATTACGCTCTTTGTAGACCATCTACAAGTTCAGTTCAGATATTGATGACTGATGGCCACACCCCAGTTACCAGCCTGGCCTGGAGTCCCCATGGTGATCTATTGTTATCTGCATCCCCAGCAGACACTGCAATGATGGTATGTATGCTGCAATTTTACACTAAATTTTACAATTTAAATGCCACTGGGACTGGCCTCGAGTGCTTTAATTAAAAAGTGTTCACATTCCAAGGATTTTTAGTGTTTGAGTCTTGGAATTTGAGATAGCATAATAGGGACGAGGGACGAGAAAAAAGTTTTCACATCAAAAGGTGTTCTCTGCATTAGAGATGTGTTCAAATATAAAGTTTTACTGTATAAGGATGTGTAACAATATGAAATGTTAAATGTTCTTATCCAACCTGTAGGTATGGGACATTGCCATGGAGACATGTGTGCCTTTAAGACGTTATGGAGGTGGTGGTGTCTCATCGTTGTCATGGTCACCAGATGGCACTAAGGTATTTGCAGGTACTCCATCTTCATTGTTCCGGGTCTGGGAATGCCAGAAGTGGAGTTGTGAGAAGTGGACGAATCTCTCCGGGAAATGTCAGGTATAGTATATGATCAGACTACAATAAACGATAAAACTCTCCTGTTTATTATCCCAACGAACGAAGTTCGTTAGGGATATAGTGAAGCCCTCCATCCGTCCGTCCGTCCGTCTGTCCGTCAGTCCGTCCGTCTGTCCGGAAGATAACTCAAATACTAGTCGACAGATTTTCTTCATATTTAGTGGAAAGATGTATATTGGTGAATAGTTTTTTAAGAATGACGGGACTTTTTCGCAAAAATTATAAATTTTTCATTCTAAACCAAAGTAATTAATATTATTGTTTGAAATTTCAGTAGTGTATTCACAACATTTATCTATTTCACATACATTCCGTGTTTTTCATCCTGACCCCCAGGGGCCATGTATGGGGGGACAGGAAAACAGAAATTTTCGCTAATTTTTAGATCTTTCTGATGTATAGCTTTATTATACTCAAATGAAAGGCAATTAAGAGTAGATTGCAAATATTGTATCTTTTTTCTGATTCGAGCCTCGTAAAATTCAAAATGGCCGTCTAATGTACGATTTCGCAATAATTTTTCGATCCCTTCAAAGTATGGCTATATTATACTCAAATTGAAGGAATTTTAGAGTAGATCACAATTATGGTATTATTTTTCAGATTTATACCTCAGAAAATTCAAAAAGGCTGCTTTGCAGGAATTCGCAATTCTAAAATCTAATTTTTTCATTTTCAACCAAAGTAATGAGTATAATTGATTTTGATATATAATTGATTTTGTTCGTTGGGATTTGCTACTCCGCGGAGTTGCCATTATCTAGTTTTCTAAGTGTTCAAATGGTTCCAGGGAAATTAATATATTAACAGTTGGATTAACCATATGTGGTAATGTATACCTTAAAACAAAATTTGTCACCACTTAGGAAGCCATTACAATTTATGAACCTCTCTGGGGTTTACTTCCTTACTCTGATTCCTGGTCTTATTTGTTCGTATATTTGAAGAATTGCACAGGGTTATTATTTTAGCTGTATCTGAGCAAAACATCTTTTGCATTTTGTAATTTCAAACCTATTTCAGGCTGCATGCTGGAGTCCAGATGGAGCCACTGTTCTATTCACTACAGCAGACGATCCAATCATATACTCCCTTTCATTCAGTCTACAGTTAGATGAATCGAGGCCTGTGATTGGTGGGTCTCAATCTGCTGTTAGCTGTATTGACCTATCAGAAGTTTGCTTTGAATGTGATGATCGAGAAGTAAAGTAAGCATTCTACATGTATTTTGTTGCACGGAATTCAAACACAGATGTCATTGATGCTAAACAGATTCAAAAGTGCCACTCTCCGCATCTATGGAAGTGTATGAGAGGAAAATGTTGATTTTACCAGAATTACAGATAATACATTTTTTGTGACCCACTTTTTTGTTAAGAATTAAATACAATATAATAGGGCTATTTGGCTTGCACGAAGAGAAGTCTACAATCATGATCGTTTCAACTTATTTCAATAAGTGCCAAAAGGAAAATAGACTTAATTACATGTATGCTACCACGAGAAGTGGTGAAACATTGTTCATAGTTATGTTAGTGTAAAATAAAAATATCAAAATTAACATATAGGAATAGGGTTTTGGCTGATATAAAGATGGTAGCACAGGTGGAATTTTAAGATATATGTCAAGGATGATTGGAAGCCAAAGTTCCACCTCAGTATTCTTTAATCTCCAGGTGATGCTATACTGCTGATAGTGCCTGTACATTTCTACAGCTGCAAGGAGAATAAAGGATATTCTCCAACAAAGCTGGCATCATTTTTGTCTGACATTTCCCTGGCTATAAATCCACAATATGCATTCAATATATGGTCACTAATTAAGCCACTAATGATCTTCATCAATTCTTGTGTGTTTTGGATTTTTTGTGAGGTAATTTGCGAGGTAACTTGCGATTCAAATTTTGAAGTGAGACATATCAAATCCAGGACTGACGCTAGCTTTGTTGGCGAATATCAATGTTGTGTTCTGGCTGCCAATCCTCCTTGGATATATGTAAAACAGATGGATTACACTGCCATCTTTTTTATGTCACCACTAGACATGGTGACATATTGTTATAATGTCCAACTGTTTTTGTGGATGGCATGTTCAGTGTTCAGGGTCTGTAACAAATCACAGGTGACATTTTCCATGGTAATGCTTTGTTAAAAAGTTATATATATCACCTTTCAGCCTATGCGTGTATATGTATTATAAAACTTAACTTTTAAATCAACTGCTTTAGGATTGGAGGTACTGCTAAGCATATGATATGGGACCCTACTGGAGAGAGACTGGCAGTAACATTCAAAAGTAAGCAGAACTTAAAAAACTTAAACAACCTTAAACATTTGAAACTTTTATTTTTAGGTTAACTTACATGAAGCTCTTTAGTTCCCTTTCCTTAAATTTACTCTATTTATTTACTATTTTTGGAGAGCAGATATGGGACACACATATTTTTCTGTATTTTCAGAGAAACATTAACTTTATTTTTTGTATTGGTGCATATGTTCTTTATTGGCTAAAATATTAAATTATTTTATATTGGCTATTGTGATTAGAAAAGCCACGACATGATATTCCATTTACCATTTTAGACCAGTGAAAAATGCACAAAAATCCACGTGACAAAAAAATGCTTGCATAATACATCAGTTGAAAAATCATAGTTTGATTTGTTTGTTTTTCTATTTCAATATTTCAGATAATTGCAATGGAAGTGAATATATAGCTGTTTACAGAACCAAGCTACATCCTGTATTAGAAATCATGCCATGGTTAGTATCCTCTACATTCATAAACATCTAAACATGTTTGTATATTTAAACAGTAATAACCTTTGTATTCTGACATGAAAATGTAAACACTTGTACATCCTTGTTTGAGGCAAATTGGTACAGAAATTCAAACAGTTGTAAGCCCTATCATGGTAATGCTTTTCTGAATACAATGTTCACAAAAATATAGAAAATATTGCATATTGACAATCTTTTAACCAAGCCCCTTCCTCGTAAATTGGGTAGCAAAAATGTTCTGCTCCTCACATAAACTGGGCAACACGGAAATATATATATATTGGGCCTGCTTCTAAAGAAAGTGGAACTTGAATTATAAAAACAAATTTGCCTTCGGGCTGAACGTTTTTCCACGCTTGTTCCATAAAAACTTTTGACCCCATTCCCCTAGCCTCCTGCTTTCCTGCACCACTCGTGATAGTAAAGGGCATATGGCTCACCAAGCTGAGCTCATCAGATAATGTAGATAAAAATCTCACCTTAGGTTGTTATTATTATTGTGTTTCAGTGGCTTCATCAAAGGCAAAGATGGAGAGTTACCAAATGACATTAGTTTCCAGAATGAATTCAAAGATGGCGCTCTACTTACAGTGGTAGGTAACATTGCAGAAAATATCGTTAAGTTATATCGAGACCTATCAATTTTCATGTACAATAAACTAATGCAAATTGTCTGTTCAATATCTAGGCCCCTAGCCAGCTTTTGCCAAGGGGGGTTACTTTTCAAAAAATTCTAGGGGCTTCACATTTGACAATTTTGGCCCAAAATCACTGGAAAAGTGCTCAGAATGGTGAAAAACTGCATGATATCAATATTCTATATGAAGTTGTTTTCTATATAATCCATTGCATGTTCCTGGTACGTGTTTGTAAGATGTTACATGAGTACACCTCTAGCTTTTAAATAAATCTTTGGGGTAATTGGCATAATTTTGGTCAAAAATGACATTTTAAAAATCAATGTGCCCCCTAATAGATCCTGTCTTCCATGATGTTGCTCCAAACGTTTAATTTCCATTTGTCCATTTGTTATTTCAGGTTTGGTCAAGTGGTAGAGTCTCTCATATACCATTGATCTACATACATTCTGACCTGTCTACCATGATGTTGCTCCAAATGTTTGATTTCCATTTGCTATTTCAGGTTTGGTCAAGTGGTAGAGTCTCTCATATACCATTGATCTACATACATTCTGACCACTCTCCTGTCTACCATGATGTTGCTCCAAATGTTTAATTTCCATTTGGTATTTCAGGTTTGGTCAAGTGGTAGAGTCTCTCATATACCATTGATCTACATACATTCTGACCAAGTGAACAATGAACACATGCACAATAACAAATTAAGGAATGGCAATGGACATATGAACAACACAATCTTGTACACTGAACACTGATCCATCTGGAATATTCTTCATTGCCAAGGCTGTAAAATTATTGATGTGGAACAATTTCCGGAGTGGAGTGAAATTTAATGAAGCGGAGTACACACAACAGACTGAGACTGCCAAAAACATTTAAAGCAAATAAATGAGCATTCTGTGTTGACCAAATGATCATTTTTAAATTGATATTTTTTTAAAATAAGCCACTTCAGAATTATCAGCAACAAGTGTTTATTTGCAAAATCAGTCTGCAATGTGGAGTATAGCTAATAATAATGTATATCATCACTGTGGCATGTTGGTCTCTTCTAAGATTATTTACTCATACATTCTGTCAGATTGAATGTGCATTTATGTCACATGCTTATCAATCTGGGAGAAGTAAAAATGCAGAAAATGCAAATAATGTTCTCTTATACTTACTTAATAAAGCAATAGCATTGTACATGTGTAATAGCATAAAGAAGCTGTTCTCTGATGTTCTGTTCTCTTTTACGCTATATCAAAGCAGGGTGGAGATCTGCCCCTTTGTTAAATGCAGAGAAAAAAGATGTTGACTCAGCACCTTATGTTACCTGTATGTGGCATTTCGTAGATTGAAATAAAAGGCTGAACATTTGACCACTGAGTTCCCTTCCTAGGATTTAAAGACTTTGTTCTGTGGGATTTATACATCCAAATATGGATATAGAGGTTGATGTTAGCTACTTGTAAATCCAACTACCCCATGGGATATGTTTTTCCCCTTTTCTTCATTATTGCACAGCATGAAAATAATTACGTTGAAAATCATATAAAAATTAGAAAGTTACATCAAGCAGATATAAACTCTTCTCTATTAGAGACAAACCAACAACAACAGGGTTAAATTGACAATCTGTCACTGTATTATATTACATGTACGAATAGATAAATGAATATAAGCTCATTACTGCTATATAGAATCTTCATTTACCTAGTACCAGCATTGAGATGGATTATGGAGATCTATACATTGATATATTGGAAGGAAATTGCATATAACATCCGCATATTGAAACATTTCTTATTGAATGAACAGCTGTTTCTAAACCACCCACGTACCAATATTGTTCGTTTATTTACCTCACTGAAGTATCTTATCTTCCTCTAAGATGGATATCTGAATAACATGGTAGACAATGGCAGAATTAGAGTTATTGAACATAATATGCAGTATGATTTAGCTAAGGCATCTCTCTTTACAGTTCAATCAATACATGTCTGTTTGTATTTATGACTGCGGGAAATGGAGTCCATTTTTTAATTTCTAAATTTCATCACTTTCATTTGCTGTATAATATCATGATACATTTCCTTGATAAATGGACTTATTTGTAATCAATTATGAAAGTTGATCATTTCAGGTAAATGGTGAAGTTAATACACAGGCTTGAAACAAACTCCTACTTAACCATGGATGCATATCTATATTGTTGTGCTTTTATGTCATCGTGATAATCTTTTATAACACTATGATAAGCTTTCATGGCACTACGATAACCAAGGGTTTTGTAATACTTTTGTAATGACCTGGATGGTACAAATTCTAACTTTAGAAGACAAAGTCGTATGTTTCTAATAACACACATGATATATGTACCATATCTTAATGGCAAAAAAGTAGACGTCATTTCACCTTTATTTATTATTAGTTTTGAGATTTTTGCGAAATAAACACCAGTGTTAATTACTGTTCAAATAGGAAGACCTAATCCTTTCCTAAGTTTAAAATGATAATATTAGATTTGTGCTTGTATTAATTGATCAGTTTCGTAAATGAGGCAATTAAACCTGGTCAGTAAGCTTAATTGTTTAACAAAAGGAATATTGAAGCTATTTATCATTTAATCATGAATCTTGATCATCAAAGGCACATATACAATACATGGGTCATTCAACAATCAATACTTTATGAATTTCATTTCATTCATTAACATGAAAATAATATAACAGAGCATATGTAGGGATACTTATCAAATAAACCTTGTAGTATATGAATCTTAACTCAATTACCATTTGATACCAATGTAGTAGAATAAGCATATTTGATTCATTCCAGTTGTAAGTGACCCACTGACCCAAGTATTACATTTGAATCAAATGATTGTATTCCATGTATTCGACAGTATTCAATAATAGAAAACAAAAGCAGTTTGATTTATTCGTTTATCTTGTTGTTTTGTGTATTGATTTTAAAAAGTTCAAGTACAGAAATGAATTGTGTTCAACAGTAATGCAATAAATCTGAAATCGTCATTAACAATATAAGTTTTCAATTTCAATAAAATATTTCATAACTTCTTGAGACATACTCAAGAGTGCCTTCATTTTGCCTTTTGCGACCCACTAAAAATGACTAGGTCTAATTTATTGTCAATGGCATGCTTTAAAGAGACCCCTCTGAAATTTGGGTTGCAAATCAGCATTTTTTCGAAAACGAAGACACTCTTAATTTATACATTATAAATTAGTATCGAAAAATGGAACTTTTGACAATTGTTTCTCATTTAAATATATGGCTGAAAAATGAGAAAATATCAGATACATATCAACACAACTGTATACTTAATGCGCTGCAGGCATTTTGTAAATACAGTTAGACTGTACATTCATATTAGGCTAGCAAAGCATTAAATCTTAACATTCAGCTTCACAGGCATAATTTGAAAAATGTATATTGGGTTACATACTGCATTTGAAAATTCAGTCTTTGTATATATATTCACATAGTCAGACTCAAATGAGTCACATTAAATGTTTTGAATAACATTCATTCTATAAATCACACACGCAATAACACCTTTACAGTGATATTTATTGGACAAACTTTTTGTGCTTTAGGAAATAGGTCATTATATCATTGAAGCCCCACAAACATATTTCATTCACTCATATCTGAATACAGTGAAGATGGTAGATGCCATAGATTGGCATTTAAAAGGAGTCAATGAATGCTCAACTCATTCGAGGGTGGAGGAGGTTGACAGGAGTCAATAGAAGTACATTTAACAATTATTTTGGTGTTTGTACATTGATATATTGACCTGTCCCCTTATCATAAATTATACTGCACAATAAGAACGACTGGTATTATAACCAGTTTATAAATAATAATAACTGACCAGCTCATTATTAAGAAGTTTCTCCCAATTACCAAAATGAAATGTAAATGAAGAGTATACAAAAATAATTTGTCACTCTCTCTAAACTCAAACAGTATATAATACTGCATGATAATATTTAATGTATACACAATGTATTTCATGTTATAATGCTGTTGAATAAATAATTCCATAGCAACTTATGCCAATATATATCTGACACTTTACACACCCACATTGTGGATGAATTTACATATAATATTATATTCGACTAAACTACAGTTCACTGTATATTGTACAAATAATTCAGTGTTTTACATGTTGTATTCACTGTGTCGTAAGCATTGACTTATATATCCACTGTGTATGATGCAAATATCCAGAAGTCTGTTTTCCCAACAGAAATCAAAACAAGGGTCTGTCCTTGGTGTACTCATATTATATGATTCATCAAACATAATACAGAACAAGTAACTGTGTATTTGTATGTGTGCGTTAACTCCACACCAAGAACTGAACCCTTGTTTGGAATCCATGTAAGTTTTAATTACTTTTACAGTTATCTGTAAGTGCAAAACAAAAATATATTTATGTTACATAAAAATAACATAAGAGTCATGGACATGTGGTATGTAAGAATGTTACAGATCAAATAGTCAATAGTCAAAACTATTGAATGAGTATCACAAAAATAACATGATATTTTTGCGCATATGTTACTTATTCTCAAAAAACACTGTAAAAGAAATTTGAAGAATGCTAACATGTAATACATGCACCAAAAATAAAATGATTTTTCTAATTTACAAAATATTTCATCACAGAAATATTGATCAACTTAAGTGATCAAATCAAACTACAAGCCAATGGCTTAATCACTAATGAGTAACAAAAATAATTGCCACAACGTTCAATGTGAACATATAAACATATGCATCAAAGCAACAAAAATTACTCTTTAAAAAACCAACACCTGCGATTCTCATGCGAAATAACTGTGCAGATATTTTTCAATCATGATATGTAACTTTCTTTCCATTTGGCACTAGTGCATACATATTTATATTTATTTAAACAATCCAAAAACAGAACTCTTCTTAAAGTTTGAAAAAATTGTTCATGGTGAAACTGAATCAAATCTCTTTTGAGAATTTGTCGTAACATTTTCTTGGTGAGAAATATTTTTTCAAGCTTGATACTTTCAGAAAAGAGAGTTTGTGTTCAAGTCTATTGATTATTTAAGTTAGAATATCATATGAATTCAAAATATTAGGGTTATTCAGGATGAGAATTACAGCTATTGACCCTTTAACTCCTGTAATTCATTACCCTTTGTAAAGCATTTCAATTTGCACCTCTAAAAGAGAGCTTCATCTACACTCGTTCGAGAAAAGCAAACATTCATTTCATATTTTAACTCAAAAGAAAGACCATAATATAAAAGTAACTTTAAGATCTTAAAGTATAAAGTTCCAATCAGCATTAAAACTACTCGTATATAGGTTTTGGGAAAGTTATTATTCATTTCTTGATTTAACTGTAAAATGAAAATATGACAGTGAAATTTCAGAATTGGTTCATAATTTAAATTAGAGACCAGCTGGTGATATACATAAAAACATAAACATAAAGGTACAATAGATCATTTTTGAAAGAAAACCCGAGGCTTTGTTAAAAAACCAAAAGAGCTCACGGTATAATTACAATCTTTGAAGAACATTGATTTTATGCCCTGACCCCTGGTAGTTATTAGCATTTTAAGAAAGACAACCAAAACACTTCTGTTAGTCAGAAATTTTAGTTTAAAATAAGCTCTGATATATTAAAATGGATAAGCTCTTAAATTATGGTTTTGCTGTTGTAACAATACCCTCTAGCTCGAAACTAAAATTTCATGTATAAGCAATCTCAACTGCATGCAATGATTAACTTTTGTTTGCAATGCGTCTACTTCTTCTCAACACGGTAGCAAAATAATCCTTTCTCTCATACTGAGCACTTCCTTTCGTTTTATTTTCCTTACCTACACTGTACGACGACTCAGCACCATATGACGCTACACCGTTTTTTTGTGGAGAGGGCAATCTATTAGGTGATTTCTTACCACTTCTTTTCAAGTTGTTTTTATTCGTAACAGCTTTCGTAGGCATTGTTCCGTTTTTTCCATACTGCACTTTTTCATTTTTCGATGATACAAATTCGTTATGTCTTCCACTTTCTTCCATCTTTAACGCCATCTTATCAAAACTGAGTCCATTTCTGATAAAGTTTGTAACCATTTCGGTTTTGATGACGTAAGCTAGATGACTGTGGAGTTTGTATGCTAATGCCGTTGCTACCATGGGCCCAATGGTGTAGATGAAGATGTGTTCTACAGTGGAGACTCCATCACACCCAAAGGTCTGAACTGAAGCATTTGCAGGGTTAAGGAACATCCCTGTATAGAGGATACCTACAAATATATTTCAACAAAATGTCTATAAATAAAGAAGCTAATAATTTCATTTTCTTTCTTAGCATTTAGGCATTTCTGAGAGACGGTTCCTATAATTTGCTACTACCGTGTTTTGCTTACATTAATCACCTCATAATCAAAATACAGTTTAAGGTTAATGATTGAGATTTTCTTCCATTGAAGTTTACATAATTCTATGTACATGTTATTCCATCTACATATGTAACATTATTGCAATTAACCATAAAAACCAATGTAAGGATGGAGTACCCTTATAAAGGTAGTTAATAATATCCTCGTCACTTGTACTGTTTCATAGAGACCGGAAATTCAATCAAGCCTCTGTTTTCTTTTAACTGGCAAAACTTTAATTATTAAGAGACACATGGTGGTTTCTAAGCATCAGCATGATCATACAGAAAGTTGCACTTATTCAATTTTAAAAATCAGACTAATTAGTCTGGATGGACAAACTGGAAACATTTTTACGTAGCCACTGCATAAAGATTAATACTCATGTTGAGATGCAGAATTATATGATTTAAATCCCCAGAGAGACTTTTGTAAACACTTGGCTATAATATCGTGTCAATAAGTTGTAATCAATTTGTGTAGAGACAAGATTTAAATTTTAATCAACATTAAGACAACTTACCTGTCAAGGTAAGGCAAACTCCTAGAAAGCTGCGAATGTAAACATCAAAATGGCTCATAGCTTTGTTGGTCAGTGGGGTAGATCCAATCAGTACATCAAGTATAGTCCCAAAGAACTCTATGAGAAATCCAAAGACAAATGGAACCGTCAGATCTGACCTACAGGAAGTGGCGACATAGCGTGCAGCATGTGGATGAGACATTTCGAAATACCACATACTTCGAGCATACTCATATCCTACAATGACACCGAAAATCAGCTGTAGGAATATTTTCAGGACTACTTTTTTCAAGCTCATGGTCCCATTCATATACTTGATGAGTGACTTGCATGGGTTACTGGTTGACCCATCGTAAGTCCACGAATACCAGATGCCAATGCAGAACGAATATGGAATGTACAGTTTGAAACCATAAAAACGCCTAATGACAAAGTTCTCCAGACCACAAGCGCAGAGCTGGAATGTTGATATGACATCACAAGTGTAGTCTTGAAGCCACTTCGGGAGCTTCTGATTGGCTATGCGGAGTAGTCGGCAAATGAAGCATGTGATGCTGATATAGCAGATGGTGCCAATAATGGGGACTTCATGGAATGGCACCCTTGCTCTTCCCCAAAAGCCAACCAACTCTAGGAATGTCTGGAAATACAATTTACAAAATTGTTTTGTGGTTTCCAACACTCCATTTGATTCTTCTTTGTTGTACAATCTGTTAAATTTACTACATAATCACCAGTTGAACCCCAAAAATAAGAAATCTAAAGACCATTGTGCAATGATATATGGAAAACATATTCATACTGCACATGAATGACATTTGTATATTTCAGATTATTTAGTTTTTAATGCAATAAGCCTGTAGATGGTTAGTTGTAAAACATGATGCCTTGGACACCTGCTCAAAAGACAGTTGTACTAGGAAAATACGAAAAACATAAAAATTAGAAGCAATCCAAGATATACAAAAGTCATTCATGTACAGTACGAATCTGTTTTCCATATACTTGTATTTAATTGTTATCGCATCCTACGACCCCTTTAGATTGTGGTCGTACGCGCGTATAATTGGTCAGTCAATGTTTTTACAAAGTTGGAGAAAATACTACGCATTGCACACCTAAATGACCTACCTCGATACATATTTTAGAATTCTTTTTATGTTGTTAGATCGCCAATTGTATGGGTTTATCGGCAGAACAAAGAGATTTTAGTTTTTACATCGGAAATATATCAGCAATTTTCAAAATGTCGGAAGGGGAATTCCCCAGGGATTTCCCTTATGACTGGTGGGAGTGGAGTGAATGGAGGAATTTGACGGTTGAAATAAGTTAAATACACGCAAATATTGCTATCAAAAATGAAAACCTCTTCGTTCTGCCGATAAACCCACACAATTGTGGATTCAACTACACGAAAAGAATGGTAAAATACCAAGGAATCTATTAAAATAGGTATCTTATAAGTGTAAGAAGCGTAGAAAATTCTCCCATGTTGTAATCGTACAGACAAAAGAATAAGATGTTTGCAAGACTAGAACGTAGAGATAGTCTTGGAACGAGATAAGTATTATTGCATTGCACAATAGTCTTTAGATTTCTAATTTTTTAGGTTCAAGATTGACAGAGGAATGAGATTGGCAACCACTCAATCAATGAATGATGCCATGTAAAAATTGATCAGAGGCAGATGGAAAAATGATATCAAACTAATTATCACATTCCCTAGGTGTGGAACTTTAGAAGTCATAATTGTATTATAACTTTTTAGATTTGGGACAAAATGTAAAGAAAATTTCTGAGATTGAAATAAATTTGAAAAAGAAGAAACTTTTGAAAAAACAAATAAGAAAAATATAAGAATTCTCACCTTATATCCTTGCATTTTACTTCAATATTCTATCCGAACGGTTTCACATCATCTCCTTGTATAATTCTGATGTTAAACACTCCCCATATTGCCAACAGAAGCACGAACGACACGAGTGAAGCAGCGCCTCACAGGTGAGCCTTTTCTTTTTCTTCCCAAGATTGAATTAATCTAAATGCGGAAACGGAAAACATGAAACGAAATCACGAATTTAAAGATGCAGACTCACTGAAGAAAGTCAGATTGCATAACAGATGATAAAATACCTTATCTCAACAATAATGCAATCTAGAATAATGAGCCACAGTGACATGGATTAGATTATAATTGTAAAAAAATGGATTCTTTCGTCAGAACATTCTCTTTGTGCAAGTAAAAAGAGAGCTACATTTGATTCCGGATTTAAATATCAATGTGTCACACCATAGACTTCTGAGGGACTTCTAACCACCCTAAGAGTGGGCGTGGCACATCAATAAATCTACAGGTATGACAAATTTCAAATATTGTATGAAAAGGTATTTGAAGTTGTCATCATTTTTCCGATCCAGATTCAGGACTAAGCTATGATAAATGACCAGAGAAAGTGATTTCTAATATTGTCAATTTTCAGTTTATCCTGAGGTTTATCATTTTCAGATGGTAGATTGATGTCAATTTTGAAGTTGGATGTCAATGATGAGATGTTAATTTTGAATTGAGATCAGCGTTCATCTTGAAGTTAGATGTCAAGAAGCAATAAGCTTTGTTTAGGTCTTATCCAACATGAAAGAATTACACAAAAACCAATAATCAGAGAAAAGTTTAAATTAAATATAAGTCTATATATTTCTGTTACTATATGTGTAAAACAAATATTTAAGCCAATACATTCATTATGAGGATATAGAGACATCTATAAATGCAAAGAAAGTTCATGTAAATGTAATGGAATCTGTATTAAAATATGTCAATGGATGCATAGCCATACATATATTCATGTTTATACTGTTATATGAAGTAATATACATCTTATAAATACAAAACAATAAATAAGAATAAATGTTTTTTAAAAGTTGTATAATACCATGGAAGTCTTCTTTTGTTCAAAACTCTTGTAACAACAGAAGCAAATAAAATAATTTTGCATACTAAAGTGATTTCTGCATTATTTTAAGGTGCAAAATTTCACTCATGACATTATAATTTCAAACATGTAGGCTACAGCATTTTTAATGTTCATTGAAATAAAATTTTGAATTTATTTCATATTAACCTGATACATTTAGTAAAGATAAATATGACATATGTAATTGCTTTTAAATATTGGATAAGCAAAGACAAAATTCAGATATTCAAATAGATTCTGTCTTAAGATATTCTGATATAATGTATTCTTTAAAAAAGAGATATTTAAATGAGATTTACATTCAGACAATTTTGTCTTAAAAAGTATCATTTTGTACTCATATAAGCTAGTTTTTGAAGAAAGATATACAATAACTAGAATATTTGAAATCCTACATGACATGTCAACCCTGTATATAATAAAACATGCATTACTTCACTCTTGTAACCTCATAGACTGGAACATAACTACAACAATAAGGCCCCTACAGGGTAAATGTTCGTTTAACAGGATTTTTCTGAAGAAATGATTTTAATTTAGAGAAAAAATATTTTTCAATAAAAAAATAAATCAAAAATGGGACAACTGACCTGGCTTATATTATCATTTTAATACTCCTATTCGCGATAAGAGTTCAGGTGGTAATTTACATAAATATCTCCCATGATGCATCGCTTTGGAAGGGACAAATTTGCATTGGCCCGCCAAACAAGTTGATTACTCTGAACGTTTCTCAGCTTCTGATCTTCCATCAGCCCTCAAGCAAAGTTATATGATCCAATCTATTCAATAATCTGAAGGATAATCAGAGATTCAAAGTAACATTATTTATATTTTTTCGATCTTCGATGGCATCTGAGCAATTTCTGGGATATCAGTGATGTCACTGGAATTGGACGGCATTTTCAACTACAGATTTCTTCGGATTTGGGGATTATAGTTCAAAAAGCTTTGTCATATATCTTAATTACATGCATACCTATGGTTTGTGCAAATGAAACTCTGCATAAATGTTTAATAGAGTCGCAGTGCGGCATTGAAAATAGCACCCCTGTGTAATCCAATGGGAAAAAACCCGGATGTAGACGAAGTTGTACCATACATGAGAGCTCTTCAAACGGGAGGTAGCTAAACTGAATTAAATTAAACGTTATCGCGTTTTGGTATATTGCAAATGGTAGAGATATGTCAAAATAAAAATAAAAAATACGAAGAAGTTGAGAAGAGGGTTCAACAATGTCAACAACGGTTTTGGAATGGCCTGGTATATGCACTGCTAAACAAACATTTATTTGTAAAAGCCTAACAGTTATAACCTCACAATATTAAAAATAAACAGCTTTATCATAAAAATATATAATGAATAAATGTAAGACATTAAATATATCACAACTTGCACTTTGCATTACATATTGCATTTAGCATTGCACAATAATATGGACAATTTTTGACCTTCCACTACATGACTACAACACTGGCCAACTTTTGTATTGGTATGTTTTACCTTTTTTAGTTTAAATCATACCGACTATTGATAAAAGTAAATATTACACAATAACTTAAACTATTTTAAAGATGCTCTGACAAATCAGATTGCTTGTATAATTGCTTAGATTATTCTACTATAGCTTAAAGCATACACAGAGGGTATATTTCTCCAAATTTTTTAATTGTCTAAATTCATAAGCCAATTGTTCTCTAAGTAGTATGACATCATGATAACCATGGTTACAAAAATACATTATTTTCAGAATATTTTTTCTTGATATTACTCTTAAATGGCATTACTTCTTGAGGGTAGATACTATATCTCTCAATGTCTCTATAGAGTTATAGGTGACAATCCCACCAGTATTAGACCACAAACGATCTTCTTCTCGATCTTGATGATTACAATCAGGCTTGTCATATTTGATCTCAAACTGATCTACTAAATCTTTATCAATTCTCACAACATCAATGTTGTTCAGTTTAACATATTCCAGGAGTTTAGTGCCATCTATCATACCTCCACCTAAGGAAAGGAGTAATGCATGCGGGCCACATGTGTCCCATTTATAAATAGTCATCATAGAGTTATAATACGCGTCCACTAATCCTTGTGCTGCAATCAGAATCTTATACCCTGCTCCAGCCGAATAACAAACATGATAGTTATCGGAGAGTTTTGATTTGATTTCATCAGATTCACTAGTGCTTAATACTACTGAGTGTTTTATTTGGTCTGAGGTCAGTTTCTTCAAGGAGGATAGGTTTAAACCCTGATACGACACTCCCCAGTGACATTTACCACTCCATCTGAAAAAATAAAACAAAATGAAATTTTATTTCAACATTTATTTGATGATAATCAAATCCATAATAGGATGTACCGTAAGTGGTCACAAAATAGGGACAGAAATTAATTGGTAAGCAAACATGATGTATTGGTAAAAATGACTATGAAAATCATGACATCATGACATCCTAGACCGCATGATAGAATAGATGGAAATATGGTTCATTCTTAAAACATATAATGATCAATTCTAAACTCATAATAATCACTCAGGAACTCAAGAAACAAATTTATTGCTTAGGAATAGGATGGTTATTGGAGACTGGTATATTATAAGTTAATGAAAGGATGCTTAGGATGGTTATTGGAGACTGGGAAACTCTGTATGTTAACAAACTTACTGTTTAGTATCATAATTCTCCTGGTAAAATGGCTGATTGACAACGCCAAGGAAAGGTCTGCCTGTTGTTTTATTGTAGGCACCTATGAGAACAGTGACACACTGAGAACCTTTGGTGTACACACCATTCTCTTCTAGGACTCCATCAAAGCATTTGATGTACTGGTAGGTACCATCTGAAATCCAAAGAAATAAATGTTATGTCTAGTGATCTGACATTAACAACATACTCAGTTCCAAGTAATGATCATTAGCACATTTGTGGGCTTTCACCTTTCATATTGAGGTATGAGGTTCCATATCCATCCGCCAAAAGGTATGACCCCTATATAGTCCATTTAAAAACTTGTGGTTTTGTTCTAAATAACACCATAGTTGGCTTCTAGGGTACCTAGTATGCCACTATTTGGTATCAAAATAAAGAGGAGGAGTTCAACTTTCATTTGAATTACGAAAATAGCGATGTAGGTCAAAATAGTTCCGACGTGATCATGTTTACTACGCATTTGGCCCGTCGTCTCAGAATTGAGGCGATGTTAGCAAACGCGAGTTACATTAAATGGACGCTGATATCTCAAAAAGTAACCTGACTCCCTATAATTTGATGTAGATCAATCGAATCCCTATATGAACAGGTACAATTTGATATATAACACTATGGGGGGTAAGCGTTTTATAGTTGATCACGAACGCCATATGTGCCGGGTATTGTTCTGAATTCTCGAATTTGGTGTTGGATAACGGTACTCATACCATATTGATAATAATATGTAGGATTTTTTTGTACTTATGTCCTATTAAGGCCAAATGTACATCCAACGATAAAACATTACAATTACAGTAAAATAATAGCGATAGTAAAGGAAATTCTCAATCATGCAATGATATGCAAAATATATCATATCTCCAGATATTTATAATTAATAGATTACTGAAAGCATGTTTAAAAAAATGTCACCAGGCCTGGGGTAAATCATTGAATCAATTTACTGGAATGTTAGTTACTATGGGCCAAGGGATGTCAGTAACTGAACTCCAAATGTTAAAAGGATGGATATTATACATGTACATTACTTACTCTATATAATAGGTTCTATTGGGAAATAGTTATATGATGACATTGACCATGTTGACAGGCATAAACAATAAAACTCACCAATAGGATCAATCCACACACCAACTTGATCAAGGGGTACATCCTGTTCTAACTGTTTGATCTGTGGATCTATCTCCACCTCAATTGTAGCGTGGACAGCTTCAGCAAGCAGACTGGCAGCTTCATTATCTCCATCTAACACCTTCACTGCAACAATAAGTTAACTGTCCATTCATAATTATATATAAGCTTAATTTTTCAATATTGCTTATGCAATACTAACAATTAATGCAGCTTGATGCCTCAAGAAAAGGAATAATTAGAACTCTTACAAGCATATTTAGTGAATGACTGGTTGCAACAGCTATAAGTGATAGACTTAAATGCCTTTACCTTTTTTAGGTAAGACTGGTTATAATAAGAGACAGACCTAAATTGTGTATCATGGATCTAAAACAAGCAATCTCTAACCCAAAAGGTCTTTAGTATCTCTGACAGTATCTTTCACCTGTACACAGATGGTTTCCCCAAGTGAGTTAGTGAACACATTGCATTCCTCTCCTAGAATACTCTCAGCAAGACCTGGGAACTACAAGACAACAAATAAAAACATATCCTTCTAAAGTCTAAACAGATCATCAAACTGGATAAAAATACCTCACTACCCTCAGAAAATTTCACAAATCTAGTTGTTTCAAAATACAGTATATGTGCTGCACTGCAAATCACAGACTAAAATTTAATCTTATGAGCACACAGCGGATTTTTGGGGAAGAAATCTTCAATAAGTAATATATAATATTATATAATACTCGTACTTGTAAATACTGAAGAGGTAGTTATAAAGATGTACACTGTCATAGAATAAACTTCTATACTGCTTCTATACTTTTTATTCTTCATTATAATACAACCAGCTGTGCAGTAAAAAACAGCACATCATCTTGCCCTTAAAAATACTATTTTACCTTTTTATCCAAATCATGTTTAATTGTCTCCTGGACCAAGACATCAGTCAAAGTTTTAAAATCTTGAATAAATTTGTTATTCTTTTCGATTGCCTTCTTTTCTTCTACCAATAGGTTAAAGAGGGTTTCTTTGCTTCTTACTAGCCTCGCAATCTGGGCTGATTTCTCCCCAACATTTATCAATGCAGTTGAAAGTTCTGACAACTTCATTTTCTGTCCTTAAAAGCAAATAAATACAGACATTGTGTTTTATACGTATCAGTGACAAAGAAATTACCTTGTAGGACTGAAATGTTCAAAATGTCATGTTACAGTTCAACTTCAACTGCTGAAAGTAAATACATGTACATATCTAAATAAAGTTTGAGATCCTGGGACCAAAAGTAAAAGAAATTAAAATGGCATATCATAATTAAATGATTATTGATGTCCATACATGATTACATGTAGATGCCAAGAGATGAAGTGGTATCTATAGATTTCATAAAATCATGTTATAAACCAGAACAACGGCAACGCCAAAGCGTAGCGAATCCCATCGAACAGAAATGGCTGGCATTTTTACAAACGAATAGCAAATATCATAAAACAACACACCAGAAAGGCCACCATTTTCAAAATGGTTGCTCACTAGCCAAGTTGTCATCAGGAGAAATAATATGCTTTTAAGTAGCCACTCTAAAATTTTTGAAAAATCGCACACATACTTGTAAAATAACACACATAAAAATGGTGGCCATTTTTCAAAATGGCCGAATACTCCCCAAAGTTTTATTAGACAATGAGCCATGCTTAAAGTATTCACATACCAAATATGAACAAAATCGCTCCACTACTTTTCGAGTTATAGTAAAATGGCCGCCTTCTGCCAAAAGTGTCTTTTGACAGTGTGCAAAGCTTATAGTAATCATATACCAAATATGAACAAAATCGCTCCACTATTTTTTGAGTTACAGCAAAAATCGTAAAATGACGAGTAAAGGCTGCCATTTTTCAAGATGGCTGCCATCTGCTTCTTTAATATCTACATTTGTAGCATTAATAATGTCCTTTATAATTTTTTTACATTTAAAACATATTGCTATTACAGTTTTACATATTGCACCTAAATTACTGTAAAATCGACACTAAAATGGCCGCCATTTTGAAAGTGGCCATTTTGAAAATCGTCTTTCGAGCAGAACTTCTACCCCCATAGGGTATATGTGTACAAAATATGAACAAAATCGGGCCAACGGTATTTGAGTTATTGCCCAGACGGATGGACGTACGGACGGACGGGCGGAGGCGTTCCCTATATCCCTCCGAACTTAGTTCGATGGGATAAAAATCATGTAGATCATTCATAATTGTCCATAATGTAACGTCATTTTTTTGTCTTCAGCCATTATCTAATATAGAAACACAAAGTTGTCGGACACTCTGAACTTTCACTTCCTCATGCAGAATTAACCAGAAGTAGACCTCATATTATCTTTCATCATATAGATGGACAGACTAATGGACCAACAAACAGATGTCTAGTAAATTAAAAATGGGCCGATTTAGTCAGCTGAGTAGTAAAGTAACTGATGCCGAGGTCCTGGGTTCAAATCCAGGCTCTGGCATAGACATCTAATAATCTGATATACTTCAGTTCTGATACAAAATAATTGATAAGTCGTATAGATGGCATATTTTCTTGAATTTTAACATTTAATGTCCCAAACTCCCCCAAACTGCAGAAAAGTATACACCGTAAATCATATTTACCAAATTGAGTGTCTCCAAAGCTTCATACCAGCTAGTATGCATAATGCATTTGTCACAGTTTGAGCTGAAATTTCGCGAAAATGAAGTATGGGTAATCTCCTCCAGGTTTGTTTATTGTGGTTAGCTTTTAATGGTAAGTGCTCAGAAGCAAACAATTCATGTGCGCAAAATAATCAAATAATCTGATTGGTTTTAACTTTAGTGTGCATGCATATTTCTAATCATCAGATAAGAGTCCCAGGGGCATATAGGCAAATCCATTTTGGTAGGAGCACTTTGTTTAGTTTAAAAACTCACCCTTTATTATTTTGTATCAGCACTATAGGAAAGTATGAAGGCATGTGTGTATTTCCTTGCTTTTGTCAGGAAAGTATCATTACACTGTTTACTTTTAGTAAACCTGGAAACAGGTCAATGGTAGCTATTGTGTTGTCTGGAAACTTTAAAAGAAAATTTGGAAAAATAGAAAGCGTGAAATATCAGAATTTCATGGAGTTCCCACTGACCTCTTACCAGATTTACTAAAAGAAGACAATGTGATAACACTTTCCTGAAAAAAGCAAGGAAATGAACACATGCCTTGATCCTTTATTTTGTATCAGAAAATAACATGTGCAGGTATAGCAATTTTTTCCCAAAGAAAATGTTATTTTCCAGCTGTAGGCTACATAAATCTTATTCCTGGTAGTGTTGTCGCGATGTGCCATAATCGTACATCGATGCATCGGCAATTTTCAGTAGTAAACATCGATGCACATCGCGATGTACATCGAGAAAAAGTCATAGAAAAGTGCACTGAAATACGAACGCTAATGCACTAAAATACCGAACAGAACAAAATAAGAGTACGCTGGTTACTCCCGTCGAGAGCTACTTAGATTTTGAAAGTATAGCTCTCTATCGCTAGAATCAACAGCTTAAGAATCCTGACTTCAAAGAAAATTCCAGGGAATTCAGCTGACTCATGTTGCACATTATATACCTGAAAATGTATCCTACATCGCCATGTTTCATTCAGCTCAACTATAGAACGTCTCACTGCCCTATGTATCGATCAGGACTTCATTTTATTGGTCGTGTCAAAAGTTTTGGCCAGGTATATTCAATATGGCGGCTTGACGTTTCCCAAGTTGCGCATGCGTCGATAATATTTCCGTTTAACCGCCATATTGGAAATGGGTATCGAACAAAAAACGATTAGAACTCCTGATCGCCATAGAAGCACATCCGCGATCCTATATGCACGGGGAAAGTAGACACATATGAGCCCATATGTAGGCTACAGTTTGAGACAAACAGTAAGCCGCTGACTGGCGCTGATCAAATTAAGATGTCACAATTCTTCAGGCTGGAGATCCTCACGATGGAGAGCTATACTTTCAAAATCTAACATGGTAGCTCTCGACGTGAGTAATACGCTGGTACATCCGGGAACTTCTAGTAATGGTGAAATGAAAGTAATTTTTTTTAGATTAATTGTTCATTTCGACTAGCTAAAACAGTTTTCAAGCGAAAGATTATCAGAAAACATCAAGGAAAATGAAATAAGACATGAGAAAGGTAATCGATTTGCGTCAAAATAAGATAAGAAAAGGTGATTCTTAGCAAATAAATTTTTTTTAAAAACATTGATGTTTTGTTTCAGACATCCATGCATCGCCAGAATCAGCTTTGGCGATGTATATCGCGATGTATCGATTAATCGCGACAACACTAATTCCTGGGCCTTTGATTTGAAAAGACCTCCCTTTGTAAAACATGAGCTGGATTGTACCATATGGAAAGCATTATTTTTGTAAAAAGAAGTTCATCTAACAGAGAGATAGGGCAATGTATCTCTCCTAATCTTACCACACCTTTTTATTAAAAATAATGCAAGATAAAAAATGATTTAGGATATATTTGACGGTCTTTCTGATAAATATCCTCTAAATCAGTTACCTCACAGTATGAAGCGGACTTCGGCATAATACATACAGCCTTCAATTCATTTAAAAACTTTTAATCCATGCAGTAATTGGAGAAAATGTGAAAAATTGTATTATTCTAAACATACCGCCTGTGAACTACGTCATCAATTTGTGTGTTCTTCTACCCAGAATGCAATTTTCCCAATGTCGATAGAATCTCTCTCAGACCTCAGTTTAAATCCAACCACATCTGCATTCTGATCGTTTTAATAAAGACTAAAACTAGATTTAATCATATTTGAAGCATTCGACTTCTGAATAAAGCCAAAATAGATTGTAAAACTATTAGAACATAGCCAGATTGCAGCAACAAAATCTTGATATATTGATGAGAAAAAACTGGATGTGGACGTTGCATCGAAAATATTTTTGTGGATTATTACGTTTATGCTGAGAGATACACGTTGGATTTACGTTCATACATGGATTACAGAGTGAGGAACACTATGACGGGATTATTGGAGTAAGATACTCCTTGGAATGGATGATAATAGCACATAAAATCTGTGAAAATTAGCATAAAATTTAGGTCAAAGTTGAAGGTCAGATAGTGCACCATCTATTGTCAATGGAATACATCAGTAACATGTGGTGATAACAGTAATAACTATAATATGTGCAATATTCCAATAACTATGAAAACTCCACTATAAAAAATATAATATGTGTATTTGGCATATGTGATCATGCCACGGGATCGATACTTTAGGGAGGATCCCTACGATGAGTGGGATGCCAGATCGTATTCCCAGGGTGACAGTCGAGATTCTGGAAGGGCAGAGCGAAGTGGTGGTTATGATCCTCGGGAAGATCCTCGATATAACCGTTCAAGGGATTATAGATTATTATCAGACAAAGAAAGAGCTCAGTTAGAAGAAGAGGATCGGTTAGAAGCTCTCGCCAGAGAACATAGACAAAAAAAGGCAGTTAAAAAATTACACAAAAAGAAACGATCAAGAGATTATGAAAAAGTCCCACGGGAACCTTTACCTGATAATCCTGTTCATGCCAGAGAATCAAGTTCAAAAGGATTGAAAGCAGTTGGAGAATATGGCGAAATATCGTCAGAATCAATGGAAGAATATAACACTCCCCCACCCTCCCGGCACTCCCCTCCTCCATCAAGGCACTCCCCTCCCCCAAGGACAGGCCGCAGTAGGGTGACTCCACCCCCTGAGAGACCTAAAACAAGAGATTTATCACCTTCTACTGCTCTAAAGATGTATAAAAAACTTTCGAAAAAAGAACAGTCAGATTCCCCTGCTATTTCTGATATAACTGATGAATCATCTGGAAGGCGGAAAAAGAAAAAGAAAAAAGACAAACGAAGACATAGGCATAGATCTAAATCACCAGTGAAAGAACTGTCTCCATCTCCAGAAATTGAAACTATAGATGAACAAAATGAAAGCCCTGAAGCAATTATAGTTGAGCCTGATCCGGCACCCTCGGGTATAACTAAGGGCTATCCACCCAAAGCTTATGCTTCACCACCTAAAGCTTATAGAGGTGGGGGAGAGGATTATAGACCTAGTCCTAAGAAAAGTAGACATAGATCACCAAGTAGGCGAAAAAAGAGGGCGTCGCGCTCTTCAAGTAGAGATAGGTAAGTTTATAGTTACTTCTCAGCTTCAAATGTTTTCTCAACTGAAGGTTTTAGAAGTCCTGCGATCTCTCATTTGCTTTACCATTTGCTTTTTGTATTTTTCCATTTATATTTTGCACTTTGCCCTTTGATGGTCCTTTGAGTTTGATCGCTTATTGTTGCATTATTCTCAAGATGTACACTTTCAATAAACTGGATTGCTGCTTAACAAAGGTATTCTGTGTCTCACTATCAAAACAGTGCATCAGTACAGTCAAATTTTTTATTCTGTCAATCAGTTCATATGGTTAGAATAAGGAAAGAATGTGATGTAACCACGTGTCTACTTACTAGCTTGTTCTATGTCATCCATCGGACTAGGTTACATCGTGGAACGCAGCCAAACACGACAATGAAGCCAGTATTCTGAGGTTATAAAATCTAAATCTAAATAATTTCCCATTTGCAGCCCCTTGGAGATTTCCGGAATTGAACAAAGTAGCGAACGTTGCGATCTTTCAACTTTAGTTCGTTGTTTTTTCACCACCTTATGTGTACTGTTTTCATTTAGGAGGCGGTCTTATTTGAATGCATCATTACAGGTCTTTATGAATCAATAGATCAATAAACAGCTCTAAAAATACAATTTAGCAGTTTCTTTCATTGCGTACTGCGCATGTTAGGCACGAAAACAATTTAGCAGTTTCGTTCGTTGCGTAATTGGGCCTTCTATAATCAGTAGCAAATGCTCGGAAAACATTTTCCAAAATATTTACTTCCGATTTCCTTGAAGACATGATTGGGTGACACGTCATTGACACGTGATTAAGTCACATGATCGATACAGTAACTAGTCACGTGATCAGACATGTGTCACGTGTCAGTCACGTGAGCTTGCAAAATGGACGATCTAAATTTCCAAAAATTCGGCTAAGATCAAGATAGATATGCTGTTGCCTTCAGCGTCCTGTTTGGCTGCGTTCCACGATGTAACCTAGTCCGATGGATGACATAGAACAAGCTAGTAAGTAGACACGTGGTTACATCACATTCTTTCCTTATTCTAACCATATGAACTGATTGACAGAATAAAAAATTTGATTGTAGAAAGGTTCATTTTTGTTTCTTATGCAATGAAGTTTAGAGAGAATCAGATATAGCGAGCAGGCTAAACAAAAAATTGTTTCAATTTTAGAATATTTTTGGCTCATGTCATTCCTTGTCATGTCTCTATTTTCTAAAAATCACAAAAATGCATATTTTATTCCAGGAAAACTAAAGATTTTTACAATAACGTATTATTTTTCTGTTAGAATGGTTACCATTCTTATTATTTGAGGGAATTTAAACATTTTTCACCCATTTTTGCACTTTGAATCATTAATAACTTCATAAATTTGTAACATATTGTGAATCTTTTGGGAGATATTGTATTTGATATTTTAAGGAATAGATTGGTAGGTCAATTATACATGTTGCTTGTAATTTTGTCATCCCCTATAGATCAGATTCTGCCTTCAAAGAAAGTTATATTGTACGAGCTTCACAGTCAATGATTTTTATTAAAAATCTGGTAATTTCAATTTGTTCTGCAGTTGACGCTGCATAATAATCCTCCAAATAAAAATTGCATAAATCTGTGTACAAAGTTAAACCTGCACATCGCTCCAAAACGCAATATGTTGACATATATTGTTTTTACATTTTCAAGCTCTAATATAAAGTTTATGTAAATAAAAATTGTTTTTTTCTGCGTAATATCAAAGAACAATCATTTAGTTTAAGGTCAGGGTGCATGATGGGAAATTTTCTGCAGTCCTCAATTGAGTCACATGTTATTTTTCAAACAAGAATCACTCCTTCCCCACATTGTCTATATCTTCCAGTTTTGCACAGAGAGTGCACTTATGTGCCTAGAAAAGATTTGTGAGAAGAATGTTTTGATAAAGTGTATAAAAAACAAGAAAATTCAGTGAAAAAATTTAGAAAATTTTCAGAAATTTTTTTCACTGAATTTTCTCGTTTTTTATTATGTCCCCACCACATAGTGTGGGGCCATATTGTCGGCCTAGGCGCGTCCGTCCGTCCGTCTGTCCGTCCGTCCGTCTGTCTGTCCGTCCGTACGTCCGGCAGTTTTCTCCAAAACCGCTACCGATATCACCTTCAAATTTTCAGGGATAACTTATGAGTGCATACAGATGTGGACGAAAAAGTTTCAAGTCGATACCTACTTCCTGTTGGCCATTTTGAAGTCAAATGCTAAAATCCTTGTCTGCAAACTTTAAGAAAAATGGCTTCACTGTTGCTTTTAAAACGTTAACATCCTGTTCAGCTCACTTGATTCTAGATCTGATTAGGTTTTGGACCTGTTAGCCCAGTCATGGCAGCCATTTTGAATGTTTTAAGAAAAGTTAGCGTGCGATAATACTTTGTATCATATTGAATGGTGTTTTTGAGTTTTCATACTTAGACTATTTAGTAGGTTTATAAAAAATTTCAGGTGTACTTTATTGTAAAAGCCTATGTTATTGTTAACAGTAGTTATATGTGCTAATTTTGTAAAAAGAAATCAGCAAAAAAGTATAATCACTTTTTTATTGTCGGCCATTTTGGATTTTTCCATCCTAAAATTTTGTCTGTAAAGTCTTGTCTATGCGTTTTCAGGTGAACCGTTTGGTAGATCATTTTCAAATTTTCAGGGATGATTATTAGTATGAAAATCTAGATCTGATTAGTTTTTTGGCATTCTGGGTAAATGTCAAGGCAGCCATTTTGGATTTTCCGTCCTAAAATCTTGTCTGTGAAGTCTTGTCTACGCGTTTTCAGGCGAACCGTTTGGTAGATCATTTTCAAATTTTCAGGGATGATTCTTAGTATGAAAATCGATCTGATTAGTTTTTTGGCATTCTGGGTAAATGTCAAGGCAGCCATTTTGGATTTTCCGTCCTAAAATCTTGTCAGTAAAGTCTTGTCTATGCGTTTTCAGGTGAACCATTTGGTAGATCAATTTCAAATTGTCAGGGATGATTCTTAGTATGAAAATCTAGATCTGATTAGTTTTTTGGCATTCTGGGTAAATGTCAAGGCAGCCATTTTGGATTTTCCGTCCTAAAATCTTGTCTGTAAAGTCTTGTCTACGCGTTTTCAGGTGAACCGTTTGGTAGATCAATTTCAAATTTTTAGGGATGATTCTTAGTATGAAAATCTAGATCTGATTAGTTTTTTGCATTCTGGGTTAATGTCAAGGCAGCCATTTTGGATTTTCCGTCCTAAAATCTTGTCAGTAAAGTCTTGTCTATGCGTTTTCAGGTGAACCATTTGGTAGATCAATTTCAAATTGTCAGGGATGATTCTTAGTATGAAAATCTAGATCTGATTAGTTTTTTGGCATTCTGGGTAAATGTCAAGGCAGCCATTTTGGATTTTCCGTCCTAAAATCTTGTCTGTAAAGTCTTGTCTACGCGTTTTCAGGTGAACCGTTTGGTAGATCAATTTCAAATTTTTAGGGATGATTCTTAGTATGAAAATCTAGATCTGATTAGTTTTTTGGCATTCTGGGTTAATGTCAAGGCAGCCATTTTGGATTTTCCGTCCTAAAATCTTGCCTGTAAAGTCTTGTCTACGTGTGTTCAGGTGAACTGTTTGGTAGATCAATTTCAAATTTTTAGGGATGATTCTTAGTATGAAAATCTAGAACTGATTAGTTTTTAGGCATTCTGAGCAAATGTCAAGGCAGCCATTTTGGATTTTTCCGTCCTAAAATCTTGTCTGTAAAGTCTTGTTTTCTGGTTTACTGTTTGACGGATCAATTTCAAATTTTCAGGGATGGTTCTTAGTATAAAAATCTACAGCTGACTAATTTTTTGGGCATTCTTGGTAAATTTTAAGGTGGCCATTTTGCATTTTCAATTCCAAAATTGTAACAGTAAAGTCTTGTCTACTCATTTTCAGGATAACCATTAGACGGGATCACCCATTGGTGGGGACATATTGTACACATTTGTGTTCTTGTACATTTTACATAACAAATCTTCTCATAAGGCTTTTCTAGGCACATGAGTGCACACTTTGTGAAAACCTGCAAGATGTAGACAATTTGGGGAAGGAGTTATTCTTGTTTGAAAAATAACATGTGACTCAATTTGGGAATGCAAAAAATTTCCCAACATGCACCCTGGCCTTAAAAAATAAAAAGGCGAATGCGGGATTCGAACCCGGGCCTCCCGCGTGTTCGGCGAGGATTCTACCGCTACACCACTGTGCTACACCACCGTATTATTATGAATGATGAAAGTAATTAAACGCTACTTATTTTGAATGCTATGATTCGGAAGTGACGTCACGTTCTTCATTTAGAAACCTTCCCAAAATCATATCGCCGGCTCCGATTGAAGCAAATTCAATGAAAAATCTTTGAAATGACACATTTATCGTAAGTATTTCTACACAAGATTTGCCCCATTTGTTCATCATTCTATAATCTTTCATTAAACTCAAAATGATAAAGTTCACCCCCGAAACAACCCAAGATTGCGTTTCGGAGCGTAGTCCAGCTTTAAGTTACAAGAAATTATTACTCGCATCCAAAATGAAATTTACAGAGCTGTCAATATCACACCATTTAAATCTTTTATCTGAAAATAACCCTGCTGTAGAAAAAGCTTAATTCCTTGAAGATTTTCTTTAGTACAAACTACAATGGATCAAATAAAGTCATTCTGTCTTTATCATTATCTTGCTCCAAGCCCATCCTACGGCAAGTATTTTCAAAATGTCCTCCATAACTTCGGAAATAATTTCCGAGTGTATTACGGATATTACCGAACTAAGCTGGTTTCTTTGGTACACAAACCCGGCATATCCGGTAAGTTTGATTTTTCAAATTTCGTTGATCTTATCATCAATTACTGTTGATTCCACTCGTTCTGGGTCCCAAAATTATCATTAAAAGCAACCAGCAGTTGATTGTCGAAATTGAAACTTACAGGAAATGCAGCCATTGTGTACCGGATGTACTTTCACTTCGGTAATGTTCGTAACGCATTTGGGAATAGTTTCCGAAGATGTGGAGGACATTTTGAATTACTGAGTTGATTTAAAATTTGAAGTGCATATTACTGCGATTTGAGGCAGCCGCATCTTTCATGCCTTTAAAAGAACCTTTCTTGTGGTGTTGAGAATCGATAGAGGTAAGCAATATATGCATAGGTAGAGCCGTTAAATTTCTACTTTTGAAAAATAACATGCGCTTCAATACTTCCCCCGCAAGACTAAAATGTAGAGATAGTCTTGGAACGAGATAATCTTTATCAAACTCTTGTTTTTACTAATTTCTAGAAACATTCTCTGCCTAAAAATAAGTGAAATTGAACTTTTAGAGAACAAGCTATGTGAGTTCAAAATATATAATAGTGGACTGCACTCAGTTTGCAAAATATCCCCTTGCCATTCGCCAGATGCGAGGCTGAAAAAGCCAATTTTGGTGATACGAAACATATTTTTTTTAAATACTGGTTGCCAGTCATGGGCGTAGCGCCCGGTATGCTGGGTACGCACAGGCATACCAGATGGTTGCAAATTCGCTCCAAATACAACCAAATATCAAGATTTTCCTGGGGGAGAACCCCCAACCCCCCTGAATGCTTGTTTTTTGATCCACTCAACTCTTGTCCCTGTGGTGGTGGCGTACTACTTAGAAAAATAGCGTTACGCCCATGCCAGTATACTTGTTCCAACTTGGAACCATTCAAATTGTCTCTCACAATCGAATCGCCATAGTTTTGATGAAAATAAAACTGAAATAAACATTAAGAATGGACTGAATAAATTAGTGTTTATGATTGGACAACTTCTTCAAAACAATAGACAATCACACAGGATATACAGTAAAATTTTAAATGTTTAGAACTACTTTGAATTTAAAAGATAAGCAATCGAAGGACCATATTGAAATAGTACAATGTATATGTAAAAGTAGAAACATTTATACATGTCCTAACTTTTGTATATTTTAGTTTGTTTTGTAGTTTAGCTATCATATCTGTGGCCTCATATATTTTGATGCTTCTCTGCCGTGTTATTTTCGGAAAAATTAACATGGCTGAAACTCCCTAAATTACAAAAGGCCACAGCTTTACTGCACATTATATATAACTATCTGAAATATACAAAACTTAGGACAAGTACATATATTTCTATTTTTTATATATTGTTGCAAGATCGTCATTTGATTGCTTATTTTTTAAATTCAAAGTAGTTCCAAACGTTTAAACACGATACAATACATTCACTTCAGTTGATGCAAGCACAGGGAATCAAGATGAAAACAGCTTTGTTATGGAATATTAGATTGATATTGTCAAATATTTTTGTTTCACTTTCAATTTTTCCTGGGAATTTAGGGGTGGTAAGCTACCAGTCAAACATGTCATAACGTCTATAGTATTATAGATCAAATTTACGCATGAAATACTTTCAAGTCATTTGGTTTAACTATCAAATTGAGGGATCGGGTTCGGTGAGGGTTTTGGTGAGAGGCAATTTTGCATGACTAGCGAAAATGGGTCCCGTTTAGGGCTGTTTAGGTACACAGTAAAAAAATTTATGAGGCCATTTGAAAGCGCCTTGCCAGATATGGCAACATGTAAAAAAGTTATTTGCACACTGTGCACTGCAATACTGTAAAACTTGAATATCCGAATACCTCTCTTATCCGAAGACCTCACAATGAGAACACTTTTCTTGGTCCCAAATCTCTTATTGACTTACATGTTAATAAAACCTTGAAATGTGAACATTTGCTAATCAAAACACTTTTGGCCAGTCTCAGTTGGATTACAATATCTATCTTGTTATCATTGTGTGTAATATAATGATATTTTTAAGACTTTTATATTGTATCTCTAGCAACAACTTATTTGCTACATGATTGCTACCAGTCTGAACTATATAAGATGTATGTTATTTCCAAGAGAATGTTTAATAACAATTATTAATATACCCTAGTCAAGTATATGAATCATTGCAATTGACAATTACAGATTGAATAACTTGAATAAATAGGTATCGAGACTTGAAAATGAAAGAAAGACAGAAGGATATTATATTGTCCAGTATCCTTGTTTTTGTAAAATGAATATATATTTTTTCTATAATCTAAATGTAGTCTTGCATCCTTACTCCCTCTCATTTTCATGTTATTTGGAAGGTATATGCTAGAGGTGTCAAGTATTAACCGGTTAACCGGTTAACCGCCGATAATGCCTTGACCGGTCTGTGTTTTTATGGGCGGTTAGTTGACCGTGTATAATTCTGTTATTTCCCGCGCTTATTTTGCATGCTAATCCGTTTGGTTTTATGGTGTCAGTTTCACGTAAGCTACTCATACATGCCATAAGTCCCATAACTCATTACAAACATCCAATCAGTAACTTTAATCCCTGCCACATTGCTTTCCCGCGCTTACTTTGCATTTTAATCTGTTTGTTTTTCAAGCGCCAGTTTCACGTGAGCTACTCATGCATGTGATAGGTCCGATAATTCCTTACAAACATCCAATCAACAACTTTAATCCCTGCCACATTGCTTTCCCGCGCTTACTTACATAGAATAGAGTAAAGCTTGACGAACATAAAAAATAAACGCCGATATATCATTTTTCCAATTTTTTCAACTTTCAAGATCGAAGATGAAGATTTCATTTGAAATTATCAGTTCAAATTTCCCGCCGGTTAACCGACTTTAACCAGTAAAAACCCCCGGTTAACCGGTTAATGCTCAAGCGGTTAATTGACATCACTAGTATATGCTAAAAGATGTTATACAGATATGTCAAGGTCATGTGTCCGCACACCACCCTTTCTTGTGGTCAGTTCTGCAGAATGTTGATATCTTTATTTATTTTAATATAAACAGACGAGAAAGTTAGACAGCCTATCAGTCAAGGTATTAGGTTTTAGAAAAATATATTGGGGTTTGAGACCAGTTTCTTGATGGGAGAAAATACTCAAAGTATTCTTGTATATTTTCAGGTATGGTAGACATAGATCAAAAAGATCACGCAGTAGAAGTCCATATTCAAGAACAAGATTAAAGAGATCAAGATCTCGATCCTTATCCAGAAAAAGATCTCGTTCTGTGTCCCCTCCACATTCGGGGCAAGGTTACAACTCAAAAACAATTAACCACACTACAGTAAAATATGCCAGTAGTTTGGCAGCTGAACTTAGCAAACATAAAAAGGCTAGAGAGAAACTTGGGCTAGGTCAAAGTAGTAGTAGTAGTGGCCAAACAATTAAAAAAGGTCCTAGCACACCGCCAGAGGCTGACATCAAACCAAGTGACATTGCTCAAAGTGATAGAACAACAACAACCAGGGTGGTAACTAAAGTATCACCAAGTTCAGATAGAGATAGAAGTTTATCAATTACCCCGCCACCATCCAAGGTAGCCCCATCTGCAGTACAGCCTTCTCCACATAGGCCACAGGAGCCCCCACCCCAGAGGTCTCAGGAACCAGCTCCATCCAAACCAACCTTGTCCCAGCTTCCATTTCCACCAAGCTTACCTCCAGAAGAATCAGAGAGCCCATACAGGTAGGGACAATCGATATACACGTTTTCAAGATAAATGTCTTAACTGTATAAGGATTTGATATTATAGCTGTTGGCCAAACACCATTTTGGTTTTAATATCACATGTGCATTGACACAATATAGGAATAATGATTTCATACTGATAATTTTCCTCAACTGCTCACTTTTATATGGAGTTTTGGTTATCATTTTGATAAGTAGTGACATTCATTTATCCGACCACTGACCAGTAAATATGAGAGTATGTGTTGTACTGTATATTGTAGGAGTCTTGTAAAATAGAATTTACCATAGAAATGAGGGATTACATAATATATCCTGTTGTAGTCAATTCTGTACAAGAAAAAATTGTTTGTCCAACGAAAAGTCAATTTTTTAATACCTCACCACTCTGCAGCTGCCTTTTTGCAATTGTGTTAATTGATATTCATTTATAAATCAATACATCATAAGCTCATGTCAAGTAATGATGGAGATAATGAAATATATCTACAGACCAAGTTCTCATTCTTTTATAGACCTCACAATATCACAAATTGGCTTCAAATGTTTGTTGCATATGATTTGGCAAATTAAGTTTTGTGTTGAAACGAGAGGCATGAGTTTGTTGGTTAAGTTTATAAAACTTGAATGCATACTGCAAACCTGTAGATGGCAATATGTTCCAACTATAAGAAATCAATAAGCAAAGGCCTTAACAGCCTGTGCTCTTTGTGTTATCTTTTATTCCAATATCTATTTCATTCTATTTCAAACTTAGTTGAAATCAGCAAAATGAACAGAGATGGATTGTGGCTCAAGGACAACAATAAATGAATGTGGTATTCAAGATTTTCATTATATTTTTATCTGCAAAGGTAACAAATAGTACTATGATACCATATGATAACAACATATGTTATATATTTTTTATCACATTGGCTAAAATTGATTGAATTAAATAATGATGAAGACCATTGATATGCTTCATATTCAGAGATCAGCAGTATTCAGCGAGACCTAGGTCACCACCAAAGCGAACACTCCCTCCTAGTGGCCAATTCAGAAAGATTGGAGACCTACCTCTCCCCGCTGTAATAGACGAGCCTGACCACTATGAATCACCAGTCCATAGGGAACCTACTCCTGAGCCCCCTACGCCTCAACATACAATACAGGCCAAACGAAGGGCTAAACGGTATGTATAAAGTGAAATATGAAATATTTCACATCTTTGGTACTCTAATCCAGTGTTGGATGTTTCAGTCCATTCACATTATAAGTAACTAAATGATTATATTTAGCTTAACTTACAAATGTTTTGTGTGTGACACTTAAGTAAATAAATACTTAAAATGTTCAATAATGTACAGTGCCCACATGTGAAATTATCTCCCACCTTTGATTGTAGGCGTATGTCTGCTGTGAAGATGTATGAGAGGGCAGGTGTTGACTGGGGAGAGCGCTGTGTTGAAGTGTTCCAGATCATTTCTCAGATAGGCGAAGGAACCTATGGACAAGTCTACAAGGCCAGGGACAAAGATACACGTATGTTTTAAATGACAAATTGAAGCATCTTAATTTTGAAGAAAGCATACACTCAGGAAAAATAATATAAAATGGTTATTCCTTTCTAATCTAGACTTCCAACTGCAAGATCAAACCTTTATCTGCAGCCTTTGTATGTTTTTCCCATTTCTCATAAATGTAGGCCCTTAGTTCCCTTAACTGCTAAATATGGTCAAACATCATGAAAATTGGGAAATTTGGTTTTGGGAGAATAAAATTAGGATTTTTGAGTGATAAGTTCATTGATCATTCTTTATTCTTGAATTCAGAGGATATGGTTGCTCTGAAGAAAGTGCGTTTGGAGAATGAGAAGGAAGGATTCCCCATCACAGCTGTTCGAGAGATCAAGATTCTCCGCCAATTGAACCACACTAACATTGTAAACCTTAAGGAGATTGTCACAGACAAACAAGAAGCTGCTGATTTCAAAAATGATAAAGGTAAGCTTAATGTGTTCAATAAGTTAGTACAGTAATATGGAAAAGAACGAGGTGAAATGAAAGACATATCTCAAAGAAACAATAACAACACCTGATTGACTAAAAAGCATTTTCTTAATTGATTTCAAAGGTTAATTTGAACAACCCTTCAAAAGGAAAGACAATGAAATATCAAGTTTTAATTGCTACTTTTATTGAGGCTATCTTGCTCTTGTTTTGACTTGTAGGTGCTTTCTATCTGGTCTTTGAGTATATGGACCATGACTTAATGGGTCTGCTTGAGTCTGGGTTTGTTCACTTTGATGAGGAAAATATTGCATCCATCATGAGGCAGCTCCTCCTTGGACTCAACTTCTGCCATAAGAAACACTTCCTCCATCGTGATATCAAGTGCTCCAATATACTCATGGACAATAGGTATGTCATTTTCTATTATAACTGTATCTTTTGCATGTGGTACATCTACAGATTTCTTTGATAATGAAATATATATTATAGACTCTAAATGTTGATCATGATATTTTACTGGAAATAAATCTGTGCTCAGTTGTAAAAAATAAAGTATGGTTTACCTATGAGACATAACCCACCATTGTTTGATATTTGACCTAGTTAGAATTCCTGTTCAATGCATGGACCTTTGCAGTAGGATAGTTCAAACTAAGTTTATGTTTGAACTACCTGTGACCACACTGTAATCTAATGCAAATTTCATCCAAAAGAGGGCGAGTGAAGCTTGCCGATTTTGGATTGGCTCGGTTGTATGAGAAAGAAGAGGAGCGACCCTACACGAACAAGGTGATCACATTATGGTACAGACCCCCAGAGCTGCTTTTGGGAGAGGAGAAATATGGACCAGCCATAGATGTATGGAGCTGTGGGTGAGTTACGCCTTCATCTATAACATTTAAAGCATAGGTTTTCTGCAGGGTAACCATAGTTTTGTGTAGGGAACATGTTAGGTTCCACAGAAATTGAATTTTCTGTGGCACATCTCACAGTGTGTTTTTTCTATAGACAAAGATTGCATACAGCTTTTCTGCATACAGCTTTTCAACTTATTACATTATCATGTTTTGAGATTTATTAGATAACTTGCTGTGTCGATCGGTGATTCTGAGTGTGATAACCTTGATTGATCACCTTTGCACCACAGCTATATCAACCTCCATTTGCAGGTGAACCACGTGTTCAGCATTCACTTGCAACTATATGAATATGTGTAACCTGTGTACAGTTCTTGTATATGGAAATATTTATCCCTTGAATGCATGGACTTTTATATATATGTGCCGTGCAAAAGCTCAATAATCAATTCTAATAAGTATGAGTTGATATTGGACAACATATATAATTTACAGAATGATTGAGAAGTATTTTAACCAATGAGGACTTTAGTAAAATAACATTTCCAGTTCCTTTGTTAAATGATTAGGTTTGTTCAGTGATAAAATATTGTTGATAAAATTTATTTTCCTCGATGGTAAATTTTCATCTCTGCAAAGTTACCACAAGAGGGGAATATCCCAGAATTCATAGATGAAGCTATCTTAATATAAAATCCTGGGATATAGTGCCCTCTTCTTATTACCACTTGTGCAGAATGGATTCCTGATAGTATTGAACTAGAATCGAATGATTTGAAATGCATTGAAAAAAGTTCTATGATGAATTTATGTTTCTCCCTCAAAGTGAAAAAGTTCTAGAAAATGTTCTTATTTTCAGATGCATTCTGGGAGAACTGTTCACAAAGAAGCCAATATTCCAGGCCAATCAGGAAATGGCACAGTTAGAATTGATAAGCCGTACTTGTGGGACACCATGTCCTGCTGTGTGGCCTGATATCATCAACCTGCCCTTGTTCAATACTGTCAAGCCCAAGAAGCAATATAGGAGGCGGCTTCGAGAAGAGTTCTCATTGTGAGTTCTATCTATAGTAGAATATCCAGAAAAAAAATCTGAAAGAGAATGGGTACTATTGGCAGATTAATGATGAAATTTCTGAAAGAGAATGGGTACTATTGGCAGATTAATGATGTGATATTATAGTTTGAGGTTGAAATGGCACCCAACAATTTTTTTAATTAAAGTATTTTATTTCACATTGATAATTTTCTGCTCTCAATTGTCAACATTGGACACCATCACTAAGTCATATTTCAAAACATTGCAGCATCCCAAAGAATCCACTAGATTTGATGGATAAGATGTTGGACCTGGACCCTGCCAAACGCTGTTCTTGTGACGAAGCCCTGGTCAGCCCTTGGTTGAAGAATGTACCTGATGATATACCACCTCCAGAGTAAGTTAACACCTTCAATACCATACTGTATTATTTTCATGCTTTTAATTATGCAATATATATAAAATCTTTTTCAAGGAAAATTAGTAATTAAGCTATCCCAAATAGGTTGAACTTTTAAAGGAATGAATTTGTTGACTGATTTTTGTTCAAATGGATAGAAATATGTTTATCTGTAGTACTTTGTTATTATTTGACCCCTTGCACTAACCTCATGATTTTCTTACAAGAAAAACATGGCTTCATTGTTGTCTTTCAGTTTGCCCCTAGACCAAGACTGTCACGAACTGTGGAGCAAGAAAAGAAAACGTAGCATGCGGGAGGCATTAAAGGATGCAGAAGCAAACAGACCAGGTTCAGGGAGTAGACATGACACTTTACCAACAGCTAGAAATACTAGTGTAATGGACAGTAAAGGTAATATGTATAAGAAAATTGTGCCAGATAACAATAAACCCGAACAGGGTAAAGATATAGGTCGTAAAAATGGCGCTGAGGGTGATGGGAAGGAACCTTCAGTAAATCCATTCCGAGATGTTAGGCCAGCCCCAAAGGCATCTAGTAGCGAGGCTGCTGTGGGAGGGGGCTCTGTACAACCTAGCCCCACTGTGCCTCAGGCACAAGGTCAGGATACATTAACAAGTATAGCAACACTTCTGTTATCAAATAAACCTGCATTGAATGTACCTAACCTTGCCAATGTACTAAAGATGCCAGTTGATGATGTAACAGCTCCACATTTAGAGGCTCTTAGTGCTCAAATTGTTATAGCACATAAACGCGGTGACTCTAGCCAGGAAAACACACCTCAGAGTGGCTCTCGTGATGATGATCCTCTCAAAGGTATTAGAACTGCATTGGCGACTGTCCTAGCACTACAGGGTCATTCCGTTAAGAAACAAGTTCCCTCAGGGCATGATGCTCTAGCCCCACATCCTAATGCCCCTAGGGAGCCACCCCAAGACAGACCTAACAGCCACACTAGGCATGGTCCTGCTCCAGGGTCACAGCCACCTAGAAGGCAGGAGAGCTACTCGTCACAAATGTCCATATCTCCTAGTGATGATTCAAATGGTTATCCAAATGACTATCCCAATCGTAGACCCAGTTTTGATGGGCAAGGTAGAGATCGCAGCTTCCAGCAAGGTGGACCACATGGAGACGCTCTCAGCGGAGGTCCCAGGCATCGAATACCTAGCCTCATGAACAATGAACCCCAGGGAGGTATGCAAGGCAGGGGTGGCCCTGTTCCATTGATGGGAGCTGGTGGTGGCCGTGTACCCCCGCTTATGGCACGTGGTGGAGCAATGAATCGTGGAGCATTCAGGGGAGGTCGCGGGAACTGGAATTGACACATGCACAATGTAGGATAATCATTTCAGGAATATCTTCAATGCTGTTTTGTTTGGTTCCAATTGTATTTCAACATGTTTTTGGATTTAATTAGTTTTGCTAAATGAATTACTTCACTCCATCGTATTATGTTGTAGTTTGGTCAGACATGCAGTATAGATTATGTACACCTTGCAATTGTAAAGTAATGATAATAGATTTCAGTATTTTCATTTATCGTACTCCCAAATTATTCAAATTGTAAACATATTTACATTTTGTTTTGAAACCTTCTAAAAATACATGTTGTGATTTCATGAGTGTTCAATATTTGACACTTTGTGGTATCTCTGTGTGTTATTGTGCAATGATCAGTTGATGATACATACAGTTTTATGCACATTCCCAAAAAATCAGCGCATATAAGTTAATAGACCAATCGGAAATGACTAGTGGTTGAGACCTTCTTGAGCATGTGCATAAAACTGCGTATTTGGTCAACAATATATTAATTGCCATAAATTCAAGAGCCATTTTAAATATAACGACCATTTCTCACATATAATGAATGGTTAAGATTAGAAATTGTAAATTCACATTTGTTTCTTTGTAACAGGGGAAATCAAGAGACACTTGAATACAGAATTGCAAACTTGTGATGTCCTTTTGAAATGGTCCCCAATTTAATATTGGGAACATATGAGGACAAAGTGCATGCAGTGACAGTGAGGGAGGCTATGTCACTTGACATTGTGTTCTTGGGGGACCAACCCAGAGAAACTGTACATAACATTTCTATCTGTCCCACTGGTGGTGGGAATAAAAAAAAAGCTTTGTAAATACATGTTAGCCTTTAGCTAGACCAACAACTTGAAATGTCAAAATCGCAAAAAATTGATGAAAGTGATGATTATAGATTAAGTCACATTCTTTGACATAGCTTTCACAAGTGAATACTTTCTCTTGGAAATAGAATTAGTGAATGACTGTATAAAGGCAATATTATCAGATTTTACAAATACATTTGCCTCGAAAAGAAATTTGAAATTTGATTGAGCTGTCGTATAACATTTCAAATGTCATATAAACCTCCATTTGTAATTGAATGTTGTTTCATTTAGGTGTGTGGAATTTGATGTTCACAGTATAATAAGAAGAGGAAATACTCCAGGATTCATTGTTGAATCTATCCCTATATAAAGATAAACCTTCATGATAGGTTCAGCTGTGAATTTTGGGATATTCCCCCTGTTCACTATAACCATAAATGTCAAAGATGGCGGCTTGTTGATTTTAAGTCGCAAGTTTGCAATGGATTTACAACTTCAAAAATTGATTCTATTCCATGTCAATTAAGTATAAACTGACAAGGGTATAGGATATAAAGCAAGCTTGTAATGTATAGACACACTAGTGATTCTTGTTTGACAATGTCATTAGGATATGATCATGCTAAGTGCCCAGTGGCCATTCAAGAGTTACTTGGGTGTGATAATGCTAAACAATAAACAGTGCAGATTTTCAGGTATTTGTGTGTGATCAGTAGCCACTAGCCAAATAAAGAATCTGATTGTCCAAGGACAGTGTTCCACAGCTTGATGACCCTAACTGCAGTTAGTATCACTCAAGATAAACCAATAATTTCAGCTAAACTAAGTTGAATCTGGATTCCAAATGTTTCGCCATGTAAACTAATAAAGTTATGACTGTAAACATTCACATGGAAACTTTCAAAAACTTGCTTTGAATGTTTTCTTGTGACTACCTCCAATCCTAACTTTATAATTTTACACGGCGAAACATTTGGAATCCAGATTCAACTTAGTTTAGCTGTAATCAGAGGTTTATTGAAAACGAAAGAATTTTGACCACCATCTTGAATGATAGTAACTGCAGTTTGGGTCATCCAGCTGTGGAATGTTGAAGGAACTGTTTTAAAATCAAATTGTATTCCAACTAAAATGCTCCATCCTCTCTCCGATATGCAAATATTTGAAGGTGAATGTGGAGTGTTAAGGCTAAATTCAGATATTGTTGTGTACATTACATATTGGCACAGTGGTCTAGGACTAATAAGATTCACTGCTGTATGTTACAGAAATTTACCAGATAAATGTTTACTTTTGTTGATACTTTAATAACAACTTGGCAAAATTAGTGTTCTAAACTAAAGCATAGACTAATTCAATGATTTATGTAGAATTTTGTCAACTCGAAATTTGGGGAAACAGTAAAATTTTACCTTGGCAAATTTTACCAAAATTACTTACAGTATACATACTATCTTTGATATTTCCCTGTTAATTGCACATCAGGGGTGGATTTAGATTGTTTATGCTAATTCTATTTTGTGTAGTTCTGTAATTTTAGCAGTTACATGCCTCTGCTTATGAGAAAATTCAGGCTACCTGTATATGTTAAAAGGTGTCTCAAAAATAATTAATATCGCTAAAGCTTGCTGTATTTTTGACTCCCAAATAACATACAAATTTCAAATTTTGTTTCACATCAAAGGATGCTGAAATAGTGAAGCACTCTTTTTGGAATTGTTATGCTCTGAAAGCCATATTGGCCACACAACTGAGATGTTTATTTACATATTTATGAGGACCGATGTTCTCTCATAAGACTTAGGGAAAAGATATAGCTAAGATTTAAAGCAGTTTCTTATTTTTGAGACACCAATTGATTAATTGATGAATTTCCATTGTGACATACCAATTTATATTAGAAATAAATGTACATTATAAAATAAAATATTTCTTGTTGGTATAGGGATTAGTGAGTTGGATATGGAGGATTTCCAGTTTCTACAATAAGGCCAATCAAAGTTAATTATTAGTTGAATGTCCAATTGAGTGGTCAAATGTTTGGAGGGTGGGATGATAATGTAAAAATCTTCACATGATATCATTTTTTTTAAAGATGAATTAAGAGGATTAAAACATTGAATGCTGAAGGTCAATTTAGTTTAGCTTCATCAGCACCATCTATTTTTGAACTAAACAAAAATATTAAACTCTGGTAGCCTGAACTGAATCTGAGAAAATATTTTACATTGCACTGGCCAGGCCTCCTAGATGTGGATTTTGGAAGCCCAGTCCATTATAGTATGTAATTGTTACAGTATCAAAACCTATGAACTTCATGTTATATTCTATCCTGAACTATATGAATTGGTAGTTTCTAAAACAAGATTTATTTTTCTGATAACATTCTTGTTATATACTGGAAAATTGATCGACATGATTTTTAACATTTACCAATCCAAATTAAGAACATTATCAAATATATTCATTATCACAAAACTATTTGAAAATGTTTATTAATGAACACAGCTATTTTGGAAAACAAATGCATTTCAAGTAGAAGTCAGTTTAGCAGGTTTAAGTCTTGTTTTTGAAAATCAAATCAGACTGTTTTATATTAGAAATCTGAGAACTTATTGAGAAAAATTCTTAAAAATGGGGTTTTGATTAGTAGGGAATTTATCATTAGAAAATCTGGGTTTTTACTGAAAACCCAAAACCTGAGTATTGTGCTATTGTAAAAAATCTATGATATTTCATAAAAAAGGATTTGAATTAAGGGAATTTGCCATCAGGAAATTTCTTTATTACTAAAAAATGGCTTTGTATAAAAAACCTCATACCCACCTACCCACGTACGTGGGACATGATGCAGTCTTTGCAGGGTTCAATTTTAAAGATCTTAGTTTAGGATGAATTATAGATGCATTTGTAACAACCCTTGACGTTGCTACTACATCCCAGCTGGGTTCGATTCCCACTCGTGGCATCGAATTTAGCACACTTTCTTTCAATTCCTTTATCTGACTTGTTGGACCTATGCTCGCGGTCGTTAGTTATTTATTCCCCTGGGGCGCCCTCAGGTCATTACACATTAAAATGCATCCATATGCCTTTATTTATTGATCTGTCATCTGTCTAGTGATAAAATAAAACTGGAATTGTAGAAATGTTAATAATTTGAGCTATTTTGAGATTTAATAATCTTTAAAATTGAACCCTTCAATGACTGTATCATGTTCCACATAGGTGGTTATGAGGTAGAAGGTTTTTTATACGAAGCCCTAAAAAATGTGTGTGCTTTTCAAATCAGGATATTACAAATCCATGGAAACAATAAAAAACAGGATTTTTATTTATGAGAGCATTTATTGATACTGCTTGGTGAAAACAAGAGATTGTGGAATGTAGGAACATTGAGAATATTGATAAAGATGGATAATTTGTCATGAAAATTAATAAAACAAATATGAACATTGAAGATGGTGAAATTCCAGAGGATTAGAATAACAAGAATACAAAAATGTACAGCAATAAAACTGAAAATGAATGTCAATTCAACATTGGAAATTAAGAATGACCTGAAGAACTATTTTTGTGAACATTTCAAAAGTGGATAACTCAATACAAACGATGCAGTTGGAAAAGAAATATTTGGATTAACAGATGAAAAATGAACAACTGATAGCCATATTCGTCAGAAAAAATCAACTGGAAACTGGAATCATATCATCAGAAAAAGAGTACCATGTTAATGCCAAAGATGGTAAGTATGAATAACATTGTATTGGATACCTGCTCTGCATACCACTGTTGCAAGATATACCTGATGTGGCCATGCAGAATGAATGTACACTGAAACCTGTGTGTGAAGACAGGTTTTACTGTGTAAGTTTAGTCGAATGAAGCTTAAAATTTCTGGACAGTTACCTTGATACAATTTATGAATTTTCATGAAAGATAGAGGGAGACAATTTTAAGAAATGACTCTCAAATGCTCTTTTGTTAATGCACATATTGGGTATATTTTGCACTTGTGGCATAAGCTATATTACATGGAAACAAAAATACTTAAATTATTAATCGTTTTTGCTGAACTTAACAGTAGTACCCAATGCAAGACAGAATGTCTTTATTTGTAAAATATTTAAACATTCCACAAAGCTGAATTTGTTTGCTTGCCACTCCTACAAGCAGGTGATATAGGAAAACGGATATGGACAACCAGACAATAATTTTAAACATTTTATGAACATTATTTCAAAGCGTTTGAGGTTGTGAAACTCTTATCAGAAAAAGTGGAGCTCATCACATATTTTTCTGACTTGTACATTGTATTCTTTTAGTTTTATTTACCCCAATAACCTCATTGTAATACAGTAATATATACTATTTGTTCAATTCCAAAATTCAAATTTTCATAAAGTGACATAGTCTTAAAACTAAGGGCTTGTTTGTTCCAACAATCTTCTGTTTTTATTAAATGGGTAGTAACTGTAATTTTGACATCTCAAATCTTCTCTTGGCTTAAACCCTCTTTTCTGCAATCATTGAAGCTTGAAAAAATGATCATGTAAAAATTAATTAATTGTCTTTTCAAACTGAAAATGTGTTTTTCAATTTTGGAACTTATCATACTGCTTTCTAGAGAGCTTCTTTTCAATTCAATTGTTAATACTACTTTCAGTAAAGAAGGTTTGTTTTCAAGTCTATTCATTGTGTAAGTTTCAATTATCTCTTTTAAAGATAAAAGTAAAATTACAAGCTATTGCCTCTTTAAGTTGAAAAGATGGCTCACCTGGTAAAGGAAAAACTGTTTATTCACTTATCATGCTTGCAATTTCATTAAA